TCTTTTGACATCCAAATTTTAAAGATCGAATCTTCATGAAAATCATCTCTTCTTATATATTTTGTTTTTAAGAGGTCTTTGAACTTTTTGTTTCTGCAATAATAAAAATTAAATTTTTATCCTTACTATTATTAATTTTTCCACGCTGGATGAATTTTTGCTACAGAAATATTTAAAGGACATTAACGCAGATTTTATGAAAATAAAATAAAATGAAATAGATAACATTAAATCAATATTCGGCATTGCAATGCTTATAATTAGAACAATAAGATAAAATTAATTTTGTAAAACTTTTAAGTGTCGAATTGAGCTTGAATAATTTTCTTTATAATTTTCGAAAGTTGTTGATGATTTTTCTTAACGAGGAATGTTTTTTACTAATTAAAGATTATTATTTTAATAATAAATTTGTCATTTAGAGTCTAGACACAATATAAAAGAAATTTTATGTAGTCAACACATAACCGATTGAGTGTACTGTCCAGTACAGCGAAAGTGTTGTAGAAGATTATGAAAATGCGTTTTAATTTTAAGGAAGTTAGTAAGCTTTTACTTGACACATCTGGGAATATGCAAATTTAGCTCTTAGTAGAGTTTCACTTTGTGCCATCTGAACTTCTTAAAAAGTGCGCTAGTTAGTTGCGGTAAATTTTAAGAAATTCCATCAATTAGTTCCGAAGATATGGTGAAAAATGTAAAATTTATAGAGTCATTGTCTTAACATCCTGAATATAAATATTTAAATTCAAGAAAATCAGTTGATTATACAGTGCTAAAATGTGACACTGTGACACAGTGATTGATCAGTTGATAAATCAGTGCTAAAATGTAAAACTGGCAAGCAAAAAACCCAGTTCCCAAGTCCTATTACACCCCAAAAGTTGATCAATTCATGACCTAGCCAAAATAATCTCACATAAAAAATTCCATTAAAATCGGTTCAGTCGAACTTGAGATACAAGTGTGCACACACGAGACAGACATACCGACATTCCTCTAAAAATAGCTTATTTACGCTTTCTTACCTTGCAAAAATGCGTTCCTACCGAAAACTCGACATCCGAAATTTAATGGCATGACAAAACATCCCTTATATATGCAATGCGATCGGTAATGAATTTATACCATAACAGCATTTTAATTGTTTTTCGGCCTCTTCTGATGTGATCTGTATGTGCAATGTGTTTGGCTACTTGATCAAATCATTTAACAAAACCGCTTTTTTGACACTGCTTCTTACTGAGTACATCGCTTATCAGTAAAAGTATATTTGATATCTTTTTAAATTTGGACATATTTTTGAGAGAAAATCCACTTGTTTCAGTGAGAATGTAATAAAAAAAACTTTTTCGGGGAAGTTGGTTAATCTCATGTGCTGTTCATATTAGATTTCTTGTTTTATTTACAAGATATTTGAATTTCTGCGCTGAGAAATTGCTGGAGGTACTACTCTTGAGTTCAAAGTATTTTAAAATATTCTAGAAATGATTATTATCAATTTCAGGATTTGTTTGTTTTTTTTTTGGGTAAACGAGAAAGTATTATAGCAATTCTTTTTCATCAAAAGCATTTTAGATTAAGGTAACTTTCAAAGAGCTTTAATATTCAGGGTGCTCTAAATCGCAATCCACACCCTTTTAATATTAAAAAAGTTTTGAATATAAAATATTGGCGTAAATGTTACTTACATACATAGCTACTTGAATATACAATGCTATAAGTAAGACAATGAATTTAAGAATAGAATCAAAAGAATCCTCGATTGATATTGAAATTTTTTAGATGATTTTTTTAAGTCAGAAATATTATGTGTAGGAGAGGTGCGAGGGGGGAGGTGGGTTAAAGTAGAATGTTCAGAGATAGAGAAATAACGATTTTGAAAATGATTTTTTCAAATCGCAATAACTTGATTAAGTTAAAAAATAAATTAAGTCGAAATTTTTCCATTATTCTATTATTAAAATCAAAGATAAATGGACGTTTGATCGCATAATGTTCTCTAAGTTGAAAATTTAAATCAATCGAAAAAATATTAAGAGATTCGAAATAAATTAAGAAAATATTAATGTTTACAAAATGAAATTGATAAGAACGTTAATGGAAGAGTAGTTTCCATTAGAGTGTTATAGTTGTGATTATGAGAGGGGGAAAAGCAGGTTGTATCAAGTACAATGTCGATTTGAAGTAAAATTAGCATTAATAGTTATCTGAGGCGTTATACGGTGTTGTGCAGTGGTTAAAAATTCGGGAATTTTTTGGAAAAACCTTAAATTACAAAACGTTGACAGTGATTCAGTCAAATTTTGTTAAAAACAGATCGATTTATGTTTGCTTGTTTCCATAGAAATCTAGTCAAATTCATGGAGATGGATACATATCAGTGGTGACTTTCATAAGTGTCGTTTGCAAAATATTATGCTGCCGAATGCTCGAAAAGAAAGGAACTGCTCAGATCTCTAATTTCATTCAAAACTCTGATTGGAACTAAACTGAAACTGTACCTTATTTAATAATTCGGCAATCCGGTTGTTAATATCCAAGAATTGTTCTTATTTTTTTACCGAACGCGTTCAATGTAACATATAAGGTGTGATGTAAAAGTGACATCTTTCTGCACTAATAATGGCGACTATATAACTGGTAAAATGTAATATTTATTACCATAGCTCTGATAGCATGTGTTCAAAACTTAATTATTAAATTTCATTCAAAAGTCGTCTTCCTACAATTAAATCTTCTTGTACGGAAACATGATAAGCTGAAATCTTAAATATTTTAGCAAAGAATGTTTTCCGTTTGGATGATTTTATGGACTAAGTTTAAAAATTAGTTAAGAATTTCATTGCGATAAACAAATCAAATATATTGCTTGATACTACGTAGAAAAAAATCAATGAAAGATGAAATAAATCAAAAAAATTAAAAGGAATACAAGCCGAACATTTCATCAAAATTTCCTTTTAAGTTTACAGACGCACATAAATATGTCAAAATATGCAAAAAAAAAGGAAATGTGTACTCATTTGAAATTATGTTTTTTTTCTCTTCTAGATCCTATAAAGTTAGATTTTTTTTTTTATATAAAAACAGTATGTAAAATCGTAATGAAAGCAATTCAACTTAAGGCTTAAAAACTCTAAAATCGCTTTCATTTCGGTTCATTAGAAATTGCTAAGATTTTTATTAAAAAAGAAAATACGATACGCAAAAAGATTGTAAAAAGAAAAAATATTCTAGGAAAAATTTAATTTTTTTTCTTTTTCTATTCCAAGTTAAAGGACTTGCAGAAACAAAAATTTCTAGTATATTAAAAAGTTTTTGTTTGACTTGAAGATCTTAAAGACTAAAGAAATGAAGAAAAATTGCAATGTGAAAAAAAAAACAAATAGCATGTTGCTTTAGTTACTTAAATCAAAAGTTAAAAGAGGTGAGGAGACGACAGCAAATTGAAAACAAAGTGAAAAGTATTTAGAGTTGATCGGGTCCACACTTCGCTATCCTAATTAATTCTAAGAATTTGAAGATATCCGACATGAATTCATACCAACTTGGATGAATTGATTTTTTATTAAAATTTCGTGCTGAATTTGACCAAATTTTGAAAAATTGAACCATCTTCCATTTGAAAAGAAAACCCTAGCCGGAAATGCATAATGTTTAAATCAAGTATTTTTTGTTTTGAGACTTGCCTAATACATACCCTACTCTCGAAATTATTCTCAAATAACTAAGAAAAAAGCCACCAATATAATTGATCCAAATGATTTCATTATTTCAGGTGTAATTGTGGAAGAGAAAATCAATTTGTAAAAATTCTATTCCTACGCATTGTATTTAAATTTAATAGCTTCTGTTTTGGTTTTTTTGTAAATTTGTTTTTTAATTGGCTTCATTTTTTTTTTGTTTTATAAAATCTAACAAAATATTATTGTAATTGTACAAGGTACTCGTACACGTGTTTATACGCATGAGTGTTTTGTTACAATTTGTTCACTTCATTTCATTTGCCTATATGTGTGCTGAGATTTTCTTTTAGGTTACACAGGATATTTTTAGTAATTATTCCTCTTTTGTTTTCCTTCTTATCTTTAATGTTGCTTTTCCTTTTTTTTTTTTTTTTTTGATATTTAACTTTAATAAAAATATTTTTACTACAAACTGAGGCATTTGAAAGATTTTTTTCTTGTTTAATGTTGCTGACATGTGTTTCCTTAATAAAAGACATGAAGAAGATACAGAAATAAAACAAGGATACTCGTAATAATAATTTTTTCATTGTTTTCCTTACTTTAATTTTTGTTTTGTTTATCTAAATTTAGTTATTCTATGAGATTTATCCTATGCGAAATTTTACCGTTTTATTTTTTTGCCTTTTACATTCCTAAATTTTGTATGAGTAGTTCATTCCTAAAATTTTTTAATAAAACTTGAATATTTTCTCTTTTTTTTAATCTTTCATTCTTTAAGGATCATCTGCAATGAATTTCTTTTGTTATTTTTCTATTTTCAGTTTTTATAAATTTTAAGCAGTTAACATTTTTATATATTATATATGTACATAAGTATTGTTTAAGGATAAAAATTTTAAGAATGCCACATGTTTTCTTGAAGATGGAGAATTATTGGATTTTTTTTTTTTTTGAAATTGTTGTATACAAAAAGATCTCCAAAAGCGTTCAGTTCAAAAGGTTTAGTTTGTATTTAATTTGAATGTGCCCCGGTAATTTTAGATTAAAGCCTATTCTTACTTAGAACGTTTCTATTTTAATCACTTAAAACCTTATTTAAAAATAAATCGGTTTGATTTGAATTTCCTATGGTGTCACATACCATATTTCTATGGTGCTACATATAGTATTATTGTACATAATACGAGTATGTAGTTATTAATAAGCGTAAATGTGACCTTACTATTGTGAATTACAAATATTTTTTACTATAATTAAATTATAGTAATTTATTATTATTTATTAATAATAATTTAATTTTCTTTTTAGTAAATTACAAAAAATTAAAAGCAGTTTTCGTGATAAAGATAAACCATCAAGATTTAAAGATTCCCAGACAACACGTTTTCAAGTTGCACCTAGAAATGATGATGAATCTGATGATACAAATGATTCAAATGAAGATAGAGAATTATTGGAGAATGAATATGATACAAAATATGGTAAAAGCTTTAGGTAAGTCTATTTTTATTAACTAAACATGTGTTTTTACTTGCTTTGTTTGGAAATTGAGAAAAGAAGCTCAAATTGCAATAAAATGTTTTCGAAAATAGTACAAAATTTGCATAAGTGCCGAAACACTGATGGGGTTCTGGGTTCTAAATATTTGTATTATTATGTCTATGTTTTGGAACATTATGGTTATTAATTTACCGTACCATAACTTCGTCCTATTAGAAATAAGTATGTTCAATGATTACAGCTCAGCCATTGCCTAGATTCGTAGATTCCCAGGGAACCTGGGCAGTGCCCCGTGAAGAAATTCGCAATAGTGCGAACCCGGCTCCTGCTCATCCCCAGCAACTCTGTGGTGAATCCGCTGGAGCACGCCGAAAGAAATACTTTCGCATGACGGCACCCTTTCGTGTCCCGCCAGTGACGGCCGCATTCCGCCGCGAGCAGGCAGGCAAGCCTGGCCCCCACGGCGGAAGAAGGCAGACCGCAGAAAGGCAGCGGCTGCACAAAGTGGCCATCGGCAACTTCGTTGCCCGCAAGGCCACTATGGCCCGGCACCCAAATGAGCATCACTCTGTTCTCCGATGCCAATACCATAAGTGCAGCAAGGCAGCTCCAGACCAGCTTGGATGTAACCTGAGCTGAACGAAGCGCCAGCAGTGCAGCCCTGCTGTCTGAGAAACACATAGATGGTGCGGTTTCTATACCCCCTTTCTAAATTTATACTCAGACAGATCTCTACTGCTTGTATTTCGGCCTGGAACACTGTGCAATACAGGTCAAGGGTTGCATATACACGCGTGTCCGGGCGGACACCGTATACGCCCGAACCCACACCCGACTCCGTTTTGGATCCGTCCGCATACCACACGCTCGAACCCGACCTAAGTACCGGAAACAGAACCCTGTACCTATGGTCGAAGTTGTACCGCGGCAGACAGGTATCCGACATGGTTATTCTTAGGATCGGATCGCTCTCAATGAAGTCTCTGTGAATTCTGTGGGCCAATTTTAGCCCTGCCCCGTCCTCGCCAGAGAGAAGTCGGCCAATTTTAGCCCTGCCCCGTCCTCGCCAGAGAGAAGTCGGTAAGTATGGTTATTCTTAGAGTCGGATCGCTCTCAATGAAGTCGCTGTGAGTTCTGTGGGCCAATTTTAGCCCTGCCCCGTCCTCGCCAGAGAGAAGTCGGCCAATTTTAACCGAGCTTCCTTCAATATATGGAGGTGTAGTGGCGGCAATCCGATCATCACCTCCAATGCAGCGGTGGGAGCCGTCCGCATTGCCCCGGTCACTCCCAGGCGGGCCAGCCTCTGTAGCTTTTCCATCTTGGCCCGCACACCCGCCTGCTGAGCCTTACGGCACCATACAATCGACGCATAGGTGACACGCCCACGCCCCGGACACACGCCCCGGAGCCCCTGAGAGCAGCGATTAGATCATCCACTACAATGGACCACAGGAGGGGCGAAAGAACCCCGCCCTGCGGACATCCTTTTGCAGCGGAGATGAAGAGTATATCGTCAGCTATGGTGGACTTAATAATCCTATCCTGCAGCATCCGATTAACCCATCTGCTAGTCGTCGCATCAATCCCTCGTTTGTGCAACGACTCACAGATGACATGATATGGGGTGTTGTCAAAAGCTCCCTCTATATCAAGGAGGTACCTCCAGTGAGTTTTCAAGGACCCCCACCAGACTCTGCAGAGCGAGTACAGTAGACCTACCCGACTGATAGGCGTACTGAGATTCATGCAAGGGATTGCTTCCGAGTGCATCGTCCCGTATAAATCTATCAATCACTTTTTCCATTGCTTTCAATAGAAAAGAAGTAAGGCTAATTTGACGGAAAGACCTTGGGTGGTTGCTTGGTCGCTTACCCATCTTCGGAATATACATCACTTTAGCCACCCTCCATGCCTGAGGGATGTAACCCCACGCATAGCTGGCACGAAAAATTTCCAGCAGTGCTCTAGCGATATGTCGGAAACCCCTCTGCAAAAATGCAGCATATATCCCGGAAACCCCTCTGCAAAAATGCAGCATATATCCCGTCGTCACCTGGAGATTTGAAGGGCCTGAAAGAGAAAACAGCCTATCTAATCCTGCCCATCGTGGAGACTAGACGGGATCGTTGCCAGTCATCCCTCCTGGGCCAGGATGCCCTCGGTTTAATGACCGCATTTGAGTGATTCCCAAGAATCTCTGAGTCAGGAAAGTGCGTTCACGCCATAAGCTCCAACGTCTGCTTTCCGTTCTCAGTCATGAAGCCATCAGGCCGTTCCATTAGGTCCAACCCGCTAGCATACTTTTTGGAAAGCACCCTGTGAAGACGCGCACTGCTAGAGAGTTCATCAATGCCCTTGGAGAACGCCCTCTACGAGATTCTCTTCGCTTTCCTTATTTCTTTATTGTATTTTGTGAGTGAGTCTTTATACTCTTCCCACGAACCCGACGCCTTAGCCTTATTGAATAGCTTTCTGGTCTGTAGTCTAAGCCTTGAAAGCTCCTCATTCCACCACGGGCACTTCCGATTGCTCCGCCTCGGCTTAGCGCGGCAGTTCCCGTGGTAGGCATTAGTAATAGCCGCCGTCAGGGCCTCGCTGGCCAGTTCGATATCCATCACCGTTCTGACAGAAGCAGGAACGGATCCAATCCCATCCATGAGGAGCGTTTCGAATTGACTCCAATCTGTGGATTCGGGTACCCGATATATTTCTTCTGCCAGGCTCTCGGAAACCATGATATCAAGCCTAATCTGCCTATGATCGGACATGGATGTCTCATTTGAGACATGCCATCCACCAACCCTACTGCCGATAAATTCAGTGCAAAGGGTGATGTCAAGGACCTCTTCCCTAATTGCATTTATGAATGTCGGCCTATTGCCCTCATTCATAACCATTAATTTATTGCTATATATAAATTCAAGTAGGCACTCACCTCTTTTGTTTATATTGCTGCTTCCCCAGACGGTGTGGTGGGCATTGGCATCACTTCCTATTATAAGTTGGAAGTTCCTCCTTCCACAAAAGTCCACTAGATCCTTCAGTTGCTCGTCCGGGTGGGCACAGTCCCCCGGGAGGTAGGATGAGCACACAATGAACTCTGTTCAGCCCCCGGAGGACTTCACCTTCACCAACGCAGCTACCTGATCCTTAGAACAGTAGTCTGGAATGGGAAAATACGTTAGCCGTTTACTAAGCAAAATGCAAGCCCTAGGCCTGTATTATCATACAATAGCTCACCTGTTAGGCCCTTAACCTGATCCTTCACTATGTAAGGCTCTTGGATAAGGGCAATGTCGAGGTGATCCTTCATAAATCTATGAGCTAGAACATCAGTAGATGCCCTAGCATGCTGTAGATTAATTTGGATTAACCTCACAGTCATATCATTTCCTCCGGCTCTTGTCTATGGGCTTTGGCTCTTTAGACAAAGGCTTTACATGAGCCTTGCTTCCCATTGCCGCCCTGCCACAGCCTCTTTTGCCGTCCCAGGTGGCAACAGCAAAGTCCCTCCAACAGCAAATACCGAAGCAGTTCCGGGTTGCCAAATGGGCTTGAGCCCTTTTGGTTCACCCGGGACGCTTGTATTTGGTGTGCTGGTCGATGGTCCTTCCGTTTCCCTTGCCGCCATATTCGGAGCGACTTCAGACTTTCCAATGAGGTTTGGCTCTTTTGGTTGGACTGAAGTGCTTGTCGTTGTCGCGGTGGGCATTGGTTTTTTATTTTGTCCTGCCCTGCCGCCAGCATCTTGAGAGGATTTTCTTCCTTTAACCCGAACGGTAACACGGAAGAAATTCAGGAAAAGTCGGAACTCCGCTTTCCGTAGATCTTCCAATCCGGAATCATCCACGGAAAAGGTGAAGGAGCAGCCCCCGTCCTTTTCCTTATCCATCCTCAGCACCCTCCAGGAACTTATCTTGTGGCTGGGATTTTGCTTCCCTATCCTACTTAGAAATTTGTCCTTGGAGAGACTGACGGTTGTCTCGTCCTTTGGTACGTAGGTGACGCAGACATGCTGTTTGGGTATGTCGTCGCCATCCAGTACCACGACGTTGCAACAGTCCCAAGGCTTTATCTTCCTGCAGACACTGGTTATCCACTCCCTGGTGTTTTGATTGTTGCATGTTACGGATATCCATCCATCCCTTTGCAACGCTGCAGTGAATTGTGGATGAGAGTCCACAACTTTATCCATTTCATCCATGATGGCTACTTTGATTTTCCCCATCTGAACTTCGGATAGCCTTTTCTGTGGATGCAGTCTATGAGTGATGGCCACCTTGACCTGTGCTACTGCATCCCGATAAGAAGTCATTTTCGGGTTTTGTTGAGGAATGTTCCCAGGGACCTTTTCCTCAACATTGCCCTTCATCGACCTCTTTTTTGAGGGCTTGCATCAGGGGTGTTGCTTTCCGACCTTTCCCTCTTCTGGGATGGTCGGCCACAACACCCGATCCGCAGGCCCTCAGCTTTTCTATCCTTTCCTTCTCATATCTGCGAGCTTCCTCTGGGGTCATGCCATCCCTGATATAAGCCGCGATACGCCGCTTGGATGCACCAGAGAAATATTGTTTTCTTCCCCTGATGTCCAACCTTTTCAGGTCCTCCTCAGTCTGTTTTATAATAGGTCCAAGAGGATCCTGATTATCCGTCTCCATTGGAGGCGCCGCCTTTTCCTCTACTGGCGTGAGAAGGAGTTCCTCCTCTGCGTCAGTCAAAAGAAGGTCTGGTTCCGAAGACCCTTGAGCACTAACTGGGTTTGTATTAATGTTGTCCTTAGTATTGTTGTTGTTGTAATTGTCACTGTTGTTATTGTTGTTGTTGTTGCAGTTGTTGTGTTTGTCACAGCTGTTGTTCTTGTTGTTGCTGTTTTTGTTGATATTGTTTATGTTCTCCATTTTTGTTCCCACGAATAGCGCGGGAAAGTAAAGTCGCCCATGGCAGAGCCCGGCATACCATGGGAAGGCTCGTTTAAACTGGAGGGCGCCTGGTATCCAGAGTCTACATACTAACGACTAAGCTCCCCCTTAGCCACGCAGTCATCGGCATATGCTGTTTTACCTTGACTTGGGACGCCTGTCGTCAGCTGACGTATAGATATAGGGCTGAAACTCACAAAGTAAGAGGCTCGCCGCGAGACATGACCACGACACGAACGTAACTTTGATCGTTTCAATCACCCCTTTATCCTCCGCCATTACCGGGGCCCACCACTAGGAGGTGACAGTGCGGTTTTGGGCCCCATTGCCTAAACCATGATCTGAAAAATTACAAGGTCTGCCGAATAAATAATGATAGTTATTAGGGATACACTTTATGTGAATTAATGTAAACCGGAGTAAATCTCTTTTTTCACACCGAATAAATTTCTCTCCGATGACGTAATAATTTTAAATACCAGTTCTATCCAGCAATACTTCTAAATTTCAGTTCACGCGTATATGCTCTGTCAAAAAAAGTTTTTACTTAACATACTCTGCTAATTTAATGAATATAAAATTATTAGTTATTCCTTTATTCAATATATAGAGCTAAAGCACAAATTTCTTAATTTTTTACGTTTACAATAAATTTATTTTGTTATTTTACACTTAGGTAATTAACGTACTTTACCGTAAATAAGGCATAAATATGATCTAATTATCATACGTAAATATTCAAACGTCATTCTGTTAAAACGTTATTCACGAATGTTATGTTGACTGTAACAAAATGAAATATGTTTTGAAGTTTCTTCTATTTTTTAAAATATAAATTTGGCAAATACAATATTTTTTATAAATTTAATTAAAAAATCTTCAATCTTTTCATTTGCACATGTTTATAAGAGTAAAAATATGTTACCATTTTGAAGTCTATATAGATTTTCATTTAGATTTAATATTCATGTTCAAAAATGATGTTCCTTCAAAATATTATAATTGTAGTTCATAAAATTTCTAGTGGTTTTGATTGTCAACACAATACAAATATTTAAAAAAAAAATTAAATAATACAATAAATATTTAATTTTATAATTTCTATTTTGTAACAGGCATTTCACAAGAGAAGCTCTACCCAGACTTGATAATTATCGTAATATAATGTCAATTCAAGCTGCATACCGTCCAACTTTAGATGAATTACATAATGCAACTTTAACAAATAAAGTAAGAAAATTTAATCATAAAAGTATGCAATTTTTAAGTATTTATGTATGAATGTGTCTCGTACGTTTATTGTTCTTTATCCTCTTTTGACTTACTTTTCAATATTTTCAATAATATTTACTGGATGACATCAATTATTATTAAATTCGATACTCGTTTGAATGCATTTAACTGAAATATTAATATTTTTGGCAAGATGTAAGTTTACGTGCCAAATGTCACTTTTATTTTAAGGTTAGTGTTAAACACTTGGTTTTGTGATTTAATTATTTGATATGAATTTTAATATTAAATTATTTAATTTAATAAACCATCAACGAGGTACTTCATTCAACATTTTAAATTGGAACAAGGTGAAATTTGTAAAGGTGCGTGTGATAATAAAATTTTTTCACATCAATTTTATGATTTTTTTTTTTGAAATTAATATTGGATGGGAATTGGCAGAAATGACAATATTTCAAGTTTATTAAAAAATCTGTTGAGAATTCCATTTAAAATGCATACATGTGTCACGTGCCATTAATTTTTCATTGAAAAAACAAAACAAAAAATAGTAAATTAAAAATTAAAAAAAAATATTTAGTGGTAGATACTTTCAGAGTAGGGTACAGTTACTTAGTTAGAAGGGTACGTGTTCAATTGAACATCCAACCTGACTGTAAGAATAAGGCTAAAAGGGCTGAACATTCGCAACAAGATCTTGTCAAAAAAAATTCGAACTCGTTCCTTTACAGGACGACCAACATATCAATGTATGTAGATAGCTACATTAGGCAAGTCACCTACATAGTGAAACTAAAATGATTCAAGAAACTGAAGCACAGCCTCCGATGACTGTCTATAACACGGTAATGAGCATTGGTACGCACAAAACAATTTGATATAAGAGGGCTCCAACTTTCTCCGTTTAGGTGACTAACTCTAAGCCGTTTGTAGGATTTGAAATACACAGATAACATCGCTCTGCCAACCTTCACGCATTCGGACATGCAAGCAAAGATAAATGAACTGCACGCAAGAGTGGCAGAAATCGGTTTGAAAATAAACAAGACAAAAAACAAATCATTGCAAATAAACTCGGTAAACCCTTTCCACTATAATATTGAGAACTGGAGGGGGGAAAGAAGACATAAAAGTTTAGCGGTATTTGACAGATTATGAGCTATCTGGATACCTTCACATTTATCCAGAAATAAAAAATTAAGAATATACAACACTATTATCAAACAAAATGCAGATATAAATGAAGCAGATCCAAAAATTTTCTAGTTTAATAATTTAAACGTTAATGTTACTTGTTTAGAAATATTCCCTATAAATTTTACCAACTCTAAAAATATGTGAAAATTAATAAATTTAATAGTGTAGGTGTAACTTGCACCATAATTTGTGTACCAAATCAATAAGAAAACATAAGTTACACTTAAATTATAATAAAATTACCTTTTACTCATAGACAGTACGGGCAATTTTTTTGAAAATATTGAAAAAAAAATTAATAAAAGTATTCATTTCAAATGGAATTCTAATTTAGTCATCTGAACGTAACATAAAATTGAATTTAACTTTTATATTAAATTTTCGAAATACTTGAAAAATTCAGAAATTTATTTTTATGAAATTGTGTACAGATTTTTCTCACATCCTTTAAAGAAATTTGCTTATTACTTTAACCTTTAAATTATAATATTTTTGTTTACCAAGAATATTTTATCAATATAAAACAAAAGAAAAGGACATCTTCTCCGAAAATTCACTTTAATATTTTTAATAAATTTATTGTCCATATTTTGCGTAGAGCTAAAACAATTCAGCTACCTTAATGTATGTATATAGATCTACCAAAAATATTTCATTTTCCTTTTCATTTTTTAAGAAAACAACAGTGGAGCTATCACGTGCAAGGCATAATAAAAAAAAAAATATAAAAAAATATGAATTTTTTTTGTGCGCGAAATTCCAATAAATTTGTATAGGTAATATAAATGTATATAGATATGTGCACAATTCTATATTTTATAATCGGTGCGTAATTCATGCGAAAAAAAGCACACACAGATTGACTAATAATAAAAAATTACACGGCGTTTTACATCATGCATTGATGCTTTACAAATACATACATATACAAATATACAAGTAGATTACAAATATACAACGCTTATTTACATAATATTATATATTTTTTTATTCTCAAAAAAAAAATTTTTTTTTTAATTTTAAAATTATTTTCACGTATTTAACGAACGCGCTACACTTGCCTTAAATATTGATTTCAATATAAAATCAATGGCGATTAATGAATATCGCAATTATATAAGATGCATTTAATTCAATAGCGTTTTATTACTCTATAGGTCAAATTTATAATTAAATAAATTTGGAATTTTATAGGCTAAAAAAATGTGTCGTTGTTTTGAAAAATAATAACAATAATATTATTGTTCACTGTTTATATAGTGTGTACATATTATAGATTTTTTTAAAAGTTATTTTTAGAAAATTAGATAATTTTATTGGAAAATTCGAAATTTATAGGCAGAAATACAAAATAAATGCATAACACAAGGTGTTAATCCCAAAAACTTTTACAATATAAATATTTTAGCTCAAATTTTATTCATTTTAAGGAAATAATCGGTTAATAAATATGGAATAATGCGAGTTGAATTTTTTAAAGTCAGTGATTCTACTCCATTTTCAATATTAACTCCATTTTTCTAGGAAGATAAGAACAATATAATTTTATGAATAAATTATAAAATTCAAAAAAATTTTCTAATAAATTCGCTGAAAATTGGAAAAATTCAATTCTACTTGAGGCAATTATTCCTAACACCCTTAAAATTGTTTATATTTTATCTAAAAAATGTTTTGTTAATTTTACACTATTATTAATTTTAACATAATTTTCAATTACACATTCAAAAAATTCATATGAGTCCAGCATATAACCGATAGCAAGACATCTTCTTGTTTACCAAAATTTTTACACAAGATTATGAAAATAAACTTTAAACATTTCTTTGAAATTTTAAGAACGCTAAAATCAATTCAGCTAAAATTGAGATTCAGATCTTTACAGACAAATTGACAGACAGATCGACGCACCAACAAATAGGCATATAGATAGATAGGCTTTCCTACCATGGAGAAGTGCATTTCCACCGCAAACTCGACATGCGAAATTTGGTGTCATTACATAACCTCCCTTATTGTATGAAATGCGGTCGAACAGTATAAATTAATTATTAACTTATTATTCAGTTAACCGTTTATTCACTTATGCTTTTATTTACATTCTTAATTATTAGTTCGTGTCAATTGTTGAATTATTGATGAAATTATTAATGATTTATGTGTGTATGTGTGCGTGCATTGAAAGTTAAAGCATATAAATTTTATTAAAATTTAATTTTCCAATTTTTGCTTAAAGGAATATGGAGTTAAACTACGAACTCATACATGTTCGGCATACATGTGTAAATATGTATGAATATATTAATACAAACTAATCTAATTTCTAAAATGCATACATCAATATTTTTCATTTACATCAATTTAAAATCTTTAAAGAAAAACCATAATTTGAATTTTTTTTTCATTTTAATTAAATTAATTGATAAAAATGAGCTTATAAAGAGAAAAAATTTAATTTACAAACTTTAATAAGCAATGGAATTTCATGATTAAATCAACATTATACAAAATATATTCTACATACATACATACATAATTTCATACTGGTTTTGAATTGTTTTAGCTGGTTGTAATAATTGAAACCCTATGTACATTATGTCAAATTCAATAGTGTTTTTAATTGAATTGTAAAAAATTAGTTGGTATGATTCATAAATTTTTGTGTTCCAATAACATACAGAAGCCCCATTTAATATAATTGACCTTTTGAAATATTATAAAAAATCATTCTTATTATTGACTTTTCGGAAGAGTTTTTCATTTTTAATTTAATTAAAAAATTTAAAAAGAAAACATGTAGTGTTGGTTTGAATAACTTTAAGGTTACTATTTGTAAAATGTGAAAATTATTTATGACTTAATGTGAGCGTTCATTTTAGGGTTCACAATTACACCTCTCCACACAAGAATAGATAACTTCTTTCTATCTATAATAGAGTGTGTGCTCCATCTGTTGTTGAGTGGATTTTACAAATTATATTTACTGCGTCAAATTGAATTAACATAAGTGTATTTCTTTCTTAGTTTTTCAATTTTTATGCCGCACCTCAGATGTTCAGAGAGTTGAATTAATGTTGATGAACTGAACATACACAGCACATTACATTTTATGCCCATTTTTGTTTTTTGAAATTACTTCTTTAATGGATTCAGAAATCTATTATACCATACAATATAATTTACACCAAATAATCAAAATAAAAATTAAAACAAAACGACACTAACGATCTTTATAAGAAAGGAAAACTAATAAAACTAAATTTTAAAAATATTTTTTCAATTTAATTTAGGAGTCAAAAGGTTAACTTTTTTTTATTTCTTTACAGTTTTAATTACAACAAGACTGTCAAATTGATGCTCAAATGACTTTTATAATACACCAAGTGTAGGAAAATATAAAAATTTAATAGAAAAGAAAATATTATGAATATAAAACTGTAGAGTATATGAGAAAATGCATACATATACCAAAATAGAACAAGATTTTAAATTTGTAATTAAATTAGAATGACGAATAATAACACTTGTAGTGTATTATGAGACTTTAGAGTCAACAATACAAAATTGAATCGTTTATTAGCACTTAGAATTATTCAACCACATTCTGCATAATCTTTTCTCCGCTAGATATCGCAGTATGTAACTGAATGACATCTTGTATAGTTTTGATCACTGTTTTCTGTAAGTTTGATGGCCGTGTTTTTGATTTTTTATAAAAATAACAAATCGTGGACTGAAATCGCACTCCATTAATCATCTTTGCTCAATCATCATTAAAAATTTTCGAAATTAAGTAATTTCTTATTTTGCATTTCTCCTAAATGATATAAGCATCTGAATATTTCCATTTTTCTTATTCATCACTTAGCTTGTAAACAAAAATATACACTAAAATATAGGCAACGAGTGGATGAATGAGAACGTAAATCGATTTCGGTGATGTTGTCAAAATGAGAACATCACCGAGTAAGAGCATGCAATATAAAACTTTTTACTCACTCTAATAATTTTAATAAAATTTAAAATTTTTTCGTGTTGTTAACTTTTCTTACTTCAATAATTTTTTAACTTTATTAAGTATTTCCCCTTTTTCGAAATCGAAACGATTTTACACTCCCGATAAAAGATAAAGAAAAAACAACTTTGTTTGTATTTTAAAAACGATAAATTTTTTGTACGTGATTTATAAAGTGAAAAATTGATAAAAATTTCAATTTATTATAAAGTTTTCCTTTATTCGAAATTCAATTATTACATTGGCGTCATTTCTTTTTCCTTTTTTACATATGTATGATCATCTTGGAAATGTTATAAATCAAACATTTTATGCAATTTGTTGTTGTTATACCCGTACGAACGTATGTTCGAAGGGTGTACTAAATTTGCCTTACCGTTTGGAACGCTAAGAAATAATGGTCTGAGATACATTTAAACTTAAGTATAAGCTTTTGATCAGCTTTTTTGACGTGCGTCCCAATGATAACTCAAAAACTAATTGAGCTATTTTCACCAAATTTTTATAATGATTTATTATAGTAGTTGCCAGAACCCTATTTAAATTGGATATGATCGGGGTACAGGTTCGGGTAGCTGCCATACAACTTCAAAAGTTGTTTGGCCATATCTTCGAAAATATTGAAATTTTGCATAAATTAACACGGTAATACGGCAACTTAAAGTCATAGTCTGTTCCATAGTCAGCTATGGTATATTTACTCGCACATAGGATAATAAATTCGTAAGAGTATCACAGAGTTGACACGGTCAACTCTATTTTTTCTAGTTTTTAATTGAGTTCAGAAATTCTTTCATCAATCACGAATAAATAATTTTCTTTAAAAATATTAAGAGTGTATGTGGGGGGAAAGGGCTATGACAAAATTTTATCTTTGAATCAAAATCAATTTATTCATTAAACAATTTATTTTTTTCCCTTCCATAAATCAATAATTAAATTGTTTATTGATGTGTTTGTATCCACAATATTTATGTAATTGTAAAAAAAAAAAAGTAATGATGCCATAAAAATGTGTAAAAGAACATTTTAAAATTTATTGCAAATTTATTTTTTTATAAAAATTTAATATTTATTAATTGTCATTTGCTCAGTATGCATAGTTAGTATGCATATGTATATGTGGAATGAAATATGTATACGTGTATGTGTATGAAGTTTAAAATGTGCATTCGTTCTGGAGGATGCATTCACTATTAACAATATTGAACATAAATAATAATGATCCTAAATTAATTGCGGCGAAATGTTGAGGTTAAGCTAAAATTGTTTAAACAAGAACATAAAATTAATTCAAATTTATTGTGTGACTGTTATATGGCACTGCACTTTAGTTATATATGAAATCATTTATGCATTATTAACTGTTAATTAGAGAAATTAACAAGTAAATCGAAATTATAATCGAAATATAATCGAAATTTTAAATATCTAATTAATTTTACGCGACAAATGGAAAAAACTCATTCACATTGTAGTTTAAAAAAGTTAGTAGAACGAAAACTGTCCTCACTCAATTGAACTTCTCAGTAGATATTGTCTTTCTACGGTGTACCTTCAAAGAGTAAGGGATGCTTAGCGTAAAGGGATTTGTCATATGTGTTTAAAGAATTATTATGGGGTACCCGGTAAAAAAATCCGCAGTTGACATGAAAAGGACCCATTTTGTTCTCAGCGTTCTCTGCACAACGTGTCGGTTGTCAATTTTAATTTGAAATTGACGTGACTTGAAAATGTTCGGAAAATATTCTAATACAGATTGCAAATATTATAAATTATTTTTTATGTCCCATTATAATTAAGTTCAGTGTCGCTCTGATTAAATGAAGCTAAAATTTGCTCTCATTGACTCAATTAATGATTTATTCTCAATGAATTATCAAAAATTTTGTCTAATTTGATTACTTCCATCCGGTAAAAAAATCGGTTTCGTAGCATCTCATTTCCTTTTTCAGAATTTAATTAGTGTTAATCTTAAAGAACTTTACCTTTTTCTTAAATTCCAAAAAAGTCATTGTTGTCAGTAGGGAAAACTTTTTATAAAATTCTTAAATTATTTAATCGATTTGTGAAAAGAAAAACTTAAAATTATGTTAAAATTACTTTTAAATTTCTTACAAAAAATAAAGAGACCTTTTGATGACATTGAATTAAAGTTTCCAAAAGTCCACAATACTCTTGTATATAGAAACAGAAAGAAAACATTAAATTTTCCTTTGTTTCTCAATTGAACTCGCGTTAAAAGTTCTAAAAAATTTGTTTTGTGTCGCATTTCGCTGCCATCTTTTGAATTTCATTAAAGTTAATATTTTTCTTTTTTTCTTATTATAAAAATTATGTTGCCCTCATTTTATTCATCGGATTCAATGAAGTGGTAAGTTTATTTAAGAAAACCTAATTTTAAACTTTCCTAAGAACATTAAAGGAAGGAAGGAAAAGAAATGAAAAAAAAAGAGAAAGGAAGAAATTGAAGTGAGAGTGGAAATCAGAAAAAAAATTTGAATTTCGACTGAGATTTTCCTTGTCGATAAAGTTGTTTCCTTTTCTTTTTTTGTTTTTTATTTTGCTCTTAAATAAGGTCTTCCTTATATTTTTTTACCCGTAAAAATTTTAACGTGAAGGTGTGTATTGTGTATATTATTTTCTACTTTAAAAGAATTTTATTTTTTCTTTTCGATTTGATTGTATACTGTTTTCTCTTATATACATAGATGACACACAGTTTAAGTCGTAATGAAGATGCTGAGGCAGCAATGCAAGGTATCTTAAAATTTGGTTGGATTAAAGGCGTATTAATAAGATGCCTTTTAAATATATGGGGTGTTATGTTATTTTTACGATTAAGTTGGGTTGTTGGACAAGCTGGTATGCTACAAGGAACATTATTAATTGTAACAACAACAGTTGTTACTTCAATAACAGCATTATCAATGTCAGCAATTAGTACGAATGGTGTTATAAAAGGCGGTATGTAATTTAAATTTTTTAATAAGAATTTAAAAATGAATTATTTGTTCATTTTTCTTTTATTTATAGGTGGAACATATTATATGATATCACGCTCATTGGGTCCTGAATTTGGTGGCTCAATTGGTTTGATATTTTCATTAGCAAATGCAGTAGCTTGTGCTATGTACGTGGTTGGATTCTGTGAATCAATGATAGATTTAATAAAATCATTTGGTGCTACAATAACTGGTAATGATATTAATGATGTACGAATAATTGGAAGTATAACAATATTTATACTTCTGGTAATTGTGGTAGTTGGAATGGAATGGGAAGCAAAGGTAAATTAATTTTTATAATGATGATATGAAAATATAATTTAGTATATGAAAAGCATTATATTGCTTAATAATTTGTTTATTTTTAAAGATAAAATTAAATCGAATGAAACCTAATTTCCAGAAATGAAACCTATTACTCTCCTTAAGGTGTAGATATTTGACCCTCTAAAATGTTGAACATTATGAAAAATGAGCTGTTTATATTGTGACATTGAACACAACATAACAACTTCTTAGAATTTGAACCTAAAAGTAGGCAAAATATTTGTTTATAAAATACATAAATTATATTTTCTTCCAACAATCTTTTATATTTTTTAATTAAGTTAAAAATATTAGATTCTCACTCTCTACACATTTTTTGAGATACTTTATTTTAGAAGAGAATAAAAAATTAATTTTTCTTATCCTTTCTCAACATTTTCATAATTAATAATTTTTATATGCTCTCGTATGAAAATGTGAAGGAAACCAAGCACTTCTTGGAATACATATCTCAAATTATGAATAAATAATATTTATGTATACACAATTTGTATTGTACGTACAAATGATGTGTGTGATATATTACTTTCTTCAATGGCACACACATAAATTGTAAAAAACATATTGCCTAGTAAAAAGGGATGTTACATGATAAATTCTTATTTTCTTCTTGTTTTTTCATGAATGTTATACAAATAAATTGTTTAAACAAAAAGGTAGTATAAATTGGTGAGATTCTTTACGGAGATATACTAAGTCTAATCACATACTTCTGTATTACTTATGGTCAGACCGTGTCATTCAGTTTCATAATGAAATTTCACTAATTCTTGTTTTATTCTCTTGGAATTTTTTTCCGTAACTCTTGCACTTAATATTTATTCTTCTATTGCATGCCATTTTGTAGATACGATAGGAGTAGTATGCATAGCACTACTCTTGCACTCCGCTCTATTTTTGAATTTCTCCATTCTGTTTCGTTTTACGCCATGTTCTCGAGTTAGTGGAATTAGGAGCCTCCCGCTTTCTCCACCTTATTAATTTATTTTAATTTTACTTAAATTAAAAATGGTACATTTAACTTTAAACCTGTCACACAATAACAGTTTTGACGTTTAAAATATGTCATTTTATATTCTATTGTAAACAAACAATTGCGTTTAGAGAAAACAAATGCTTTTTGACATATGTGATTCGAAATATTTTGAATGAGTAATCAAAAAGACGTCATTATCTTGATATGTAAGATTTTTGGTATTGCTCATTTATCTAAGTATGTATTTGAATAAATTAAAAATATCTCAAATTGAAAATGCTCTTTTGATTATTCTAACGAGTTTTCTTGTTGTTTTTTTACCATTCCGCAGGTTATTTTTCTTCTGAAATTTCTGTATACTCGTAATAAAAATTCAATATCAAATTTCTTACATTAACGCAATTTATAATTAAAATGAAATTTACTAATTAATTCTCAGAAATGTGGCCTTAATAGATGGCGCAGTTTTGAAAACAAAAACCTATGAACAGAATTTTTTTGGGCACATACATTCATATGTAAATGTGTACAATAAAAGTAGGAAAAAAAAATATTTCCTTTGGCATGTTAAAAATTCTAAATTTTACAAGAAACAAAATAAAAAGAGAAATTATTTTCCTCTCGATTAAGATTTATTACAATTTTATATACTTAATTTGTTTTAAGAGTATAATAGAAAGAGGGGTAGAGAAAGGTCATTCCGTCGGTAATTTGCCTTGAAATTGTTAATATGAAAAATTTTATGTCTTTTTATAGCAGTATTATTATTTTTATATTAAAACAGAATTTAAAAAATAATTTTTTTTCCCCTAAAGGCTCAAATAGTACTTCTCATCATTCTTTTATTTGCTATTGGAGATTTTGTGATTGGTTCTATAATTGGTCCAAAAAGTGAATTGGAATTTGCTAAAGGATTTCTGGGATATAATGGTAAGCCGAAAACTCAACCCCTTTGTTATTTCCAATAATCTTTTTCCATTTTGTTTTTGTTAAATTTACATAGGGACATTATTCGCTGAAAATTTATATAGTGATTATCGTGGATCAAATGATTTTTTCTCAGTATTTGCAATATTTTTCCCAGCAGCAACTGGTATTTTAGCTGGAGCTAATATTTCTGGTGATTTAAAAGTATGATTATATAGATTTTTCAATATTTCTTTATAATTTTAATTTTATTAAATTTCAAAATTTTTAAAGGATCCACAAAAATCAATACCAAAAGGAACATTACTTGCTATTTTAGTAACATCTGCAACATATATTGCTATGGTATTTATGGTTGGTGGTACAGTTGCACGTGATGCTACCGGAAATCTAACAGATATTATGAATGATTCATGGGCATTCTTAGATTGTAAGTATTTTACTATAATGCAATATGACCTATTTTATTTTGTGTCAAAATTTATTAAATATGTTGTATGTTTTTATTAGGTTACAATATGACTTGTGAATATGGTACACAAAATTCATTTCAAGTTATAGAATTAGTTTCTGGATTTGGGCCAATCATATATGCTGGATGTTTTGCTGCTACTTTATCATCTGCCTTAGCAAGTTTGGTATCAGCACCAAAAGTTTTTCAGGTAAGAATATTATAGTCGAAGTATAAGGGTTATAAATTTTTCATGTGGACAAATTATGGGGAATATTTGTGAGCACATGCTTGAGAAATCTTATAAATTTAATTTAAAAAATTAATTTTTAATAAACTGAAAAGAAAGAAAAATTATGCAACGCCTTACTGAAATATTTTTTTGTCTTTTAGGCTTTATGCAAGGATGAACTTTATCCAAAAATAATTTGGTTCGCAAAAGGATATGGTAAAAATAATGAACCAGTTCGAGGATATATTCTAACATTCTTTATTGCAATAGCGTAAATAAATTTTTTATTTTCTTTTTTTTTGATATTGTTTTATTGGAACCACAAGTTCTTTGTTTAAATAAAATTTTTAATAAATTTTCTCAAAACTTTTGAATGAATGAATTTTTAATAGGACATTTTTTTTTTATTTCAATTTGTAGTTTCATCTTAATTGGAGAGTTGAATGCGATTGCACCTTTGATATCGAATTTCTTTTTGGCTGCCTACATGTTAATTAATTTCAGTACATTCCATGCAAGTTTAGCAAAACCAGTAGGTTGGCGTCCTACTTTCAAGGTAAAATTTTTATAATAGGAAAACCTCAATTTTCAGAAATATTATTTGAGTTTTCTAGATATATTATTAATTTGTTATAAAAATATGAAGTGTGTAGGATTAAAAGAAAAAATTCTATTTAATTATGTTAAACTCAATTCTTTTGATGATTTTTTTTTTCATTAGAATTGTGGAAAAAGAGTTAAAAAATAATAAAGATCCTTTGTAAATATTTTGTAATTTTTTGTAAATATTTTTTATAAAATTTGTAATACATTTTTTTTTTTTGTCTACCTACAGTATTATAATATGTGGTTAAGTTTAATTGGAGCCATTTTATGTGTTGCTGTTATGTTTTTAATATCATGGAGTACAGCTTTAATCACATTCGCTTGTGTACTTGCATTGTACTTAATTGTTTCATACCGAAAACCTGGTAAATTTTCTTGTCATTTCATATAAAATTTTCTTTTAACTTTCAATAATTAAAATTTTTCTAATTTTTAGAGGTAAATTGGGGTTCTACAACGCAAGCACAAACTTATAAAAATGCTTTATTATCTGTACAAAATTTGAATAATGTTGAAGATCATGTTAAAAATTATAGGCCACAAGTAAGTTGCTTACTGAAAATTAAAAATATTTTTTCAATTAATTTTTTTTTTTGTATTTTAGATTTTAGTTTTATCTGGACTTCCGAATACAAGACCCATTCTAGTGGATTTTGCATATTTATTAACAAAAAATATTTCATTATTAGTTTGTGGTCATGTTTTAAAAGGAACCAGTTCACAACGTTTTAGAAATTATTTAAATAATCGTTCAACCGGTTGGTTCCGTAAACATCGTGTCAAAGGTTTTTATTCACTTGTTGATGGTGAAGATTTTGAAACTGGTGCAAGAGCTTTAATGCAAGTAAGTTAAGAAACATATTTAAAATTTATCGTGTAATTGAATATTTTGATTTTAATTCAAGGCATCTGGTATTGGAAAATTAAAACCGAATATTCTTTTAATGGGCTTTAAAAATGATTGGCAAACATGTGATAAAAAGGAATTGAGTCAGTATTTTAATGTTATGCATAAGGTTAGTATGAATGATTTAATTGAACTGTTTAAGTGTATAATCTATTTTTGTGATTTTCAAAATTAATTTTTAATTCTTTTTGTTTGCATTTAATTCATTTTTAGGCTTTAGATATGTATTTGTCGGTAGCAATTTTACGTGTTGAAAAAGGTTTAGATTATTCACAAGTATTAGGAGAAGAAAGTAATGCACCAAAAAATTTACAAGATATTCCAAGAACACTACAACCGAATGAAAGCTCAGCTGATTTGATTTCTGTTGAAAAGAATGCACAAAATATGCATGGCAGTATGGATTCGTTGAGTCGAAATGTTTCTCAAGGTAAGATTTTAATTTTTTTATTTTATTATTTTTAATATTGTTATATGGATTAATATTATTGTGTTGTTGTTATTGTATTTATTGTCCAAATTGGAATTTCCAAAGCACTTTAAAAGTTTGTTAAATTATCGTTTGACATGACATGTCATAGACATGTTTTATATTAGAATTTAATATAAAAAATGCTAAGATAATAGATGGCGTAACTTCTAACAGCAATTTTAATTGTCAAAGCGATAATTGTCTGTAATTATATTTTTTTAATTAAGGCAATTGAATCCTCAAGGAAGTCACAATTTTTTTATTTTAGCCGAATATTTAAAAATTTAATGAATCGATTTCACATTTTTCAAAATTTCGATGTATCGATATTTGAAAAACATCACTTTTATCATATGACTGACACTCGTATTACACATTCTTTTTTTTTCAATTCACAATAGATTCTTAATTTATATGCATAAAAGAAATTTTTCCTAGATTATTAAGAAAAAATTTCAATTAAATTATTCATTTAATGTACAAATTGCATAAATATCATAAAATAAGTAATAAATGACAATATTAAAAAATTTTGGAAAAATTTTTTCTTTTTCATAAATAATTTTTATTAATAATTTTTTTATCGAAAAGAAACATAAAAATAAACAAAATATTTTCCTGTAAGTCGGAACAGGTGCAAATAATAAATAAATATTTTTATATTTTTTATTGTCAATCTAAAAAATGTGGAGAGTAGAGAAAAAGGACAACATTTGGCATATTTTGTTCAATAACAATAAAATTCGAAAAAAAAAAATTTATTTTTATTTTGTTGTTCTTTTGAAATAAAAAAAAATTATTTTTCTAATGAATTTTTAGATCAAATCCAACGCGAATAACTTATACCAAAAATTAAACATTTGATTGGACTTTTTGTTACCGTACAACTTATGGATATTGAAAGAAAATTTTTTTGTCCCGTCCATTTGTATTTAATTTTTTTTTTATTTCAACACTCTTTATTGTTCCTTTAAGATTTCAATGGCTTCTGTTTTCGTCTGATTAGTTCATTTGTACGGTTTTTGACCACACGTGTTAACTACCTTTAATTATTTTGGCTAAAAAAATTTTATTGACATTGACATTTACCTATATAAAATTTTACAAAGAAGAGTGAAGAAATTAATTCTGGTTTACAGAATGCTGATTTAATTTGAATGATGAGCAATGAAATTATTTCTTTAAATTTTTTATTACCTAAAATATTTTTAAATTTTTTAAAATTTTAGACTGAATCAAAAAAAAATTTAGTGAGATTTTTAAAAATTTTCGTAAATTCAACAAAAAAATTTATTTTTAAATGAAAAAAATACGGAGTCTGTTGAATTTTTATTTTATGTCTTCATTTATAAATTTCAAGGATTTCTCTATTCAATATTGATCTGCTCTTCTCAAATGTACATTCCTACGAATTTATTCTTTATATTATTTTTCCAAAACAAAATAATACTTGACATTGGTTTTTAATGCATTTAAACTACTTGAAAATGGAAAATTATTGCTTTTATATTATTAAATTTATTAAGAAAAAAATTGCTTTTTTGTCATCTTTTGCAAGAGCAAAAATATTGAGTATTTTTTTGGATTTAATTGACAAAATTAACATAAAAAGAAAATATTTTATTAAATATTAATGAAAGAAGGGTTTTTATTATAAGAAATAAATTTCAATACATAGATTTAGTTAAAGATAAAACATGTTGCAGTGTGGTGCAGTATGGCTTATTGTTCATTTCAGAGAGTTACTCGGAATAATGGAAGTGTTAAACATTTTCATCAAAAATGTTATTTGAAAATAATCTGAATACAAATTTCAAAATGAAAATTAAATGCTTAGAAAATCCCATATCTCACGAAAAAATCGGATTTATTTTATATAAATGAAATGTAATAAAAAATCGGATGATTTCTAAGTTTTGGGGGAAACTATTTCGAATTTTAGAAATTTTTAAACATTACGATTACATGACAAATTTATTTTTTTTTTATTTCTCATAATATTTTTCTATTTTTGTTGTTTGAAAATCACGAAATTTACATATTTTTAGCAGATGCAATCAAATTTCTTTCAAAAAAGTGATGGTTTTCTTGGTCTCAAATTTAATTTTCAAATGAGAATAATTGACAATTTCACTTAGATTGTCTTTTAAAAAATAATTTTTGGAAACCTATTCAGAATTTCTTGCTTGTATTTGAGGACAAATATATTTCAATGAATTATTATTTTTTTGAAGTGAGTAAACCGCTGTACTAGATTGAATATAGTAATAAAGAAAAAGTACTCACCTATATTGTTCTAAGGAAACAATAGCAGTAATTGCAAGGAAATTTAGTCAGCTTATGTAGTGTTGTATTCAATTGGTTCATTTACAGATGAGCTCGTGCAATTAAGAGGACGGAACAACTTCAGTTAAAGTAAAAACCTGTTTCTTCACTAAATTTAATTCATTTTTTTGTTGACACATCCTTAATAATTTCGTTCTGCTATTGAATAAAAATTAATACTGTTTTGATTAAACTTTGCAGCATTTGCGTGTGTTCAATTAAATTTATAAAAAATAAAATATTTTTTAAGAATCATCTTATTGAAAATTGGTTTTAATCAATTAAAAATGAAAATAACACCACGAAAAGAAGATTATTTGCATAATTATAAAGTAAAATTGCCAACCACGTTATTGTTTAAAGAAAAAGAAAATTCTCATTTTTTGTTTACAGTCGATGGCACGAGCTTTTAAACGTGGCAACTAACGTGGTTGCAATTTTTTTTTTAAAAATAAATTTCATTATATTTTTTTTTTTGTGGTTCATTTTAAAACCATAATTTAAATTATAATTTTTCTTAGAATTTTAATTTAAAAATTATTTATTGTTACTTTATCTGACGAATCTTTAATGTGTATGTGAGTGTGTATATTTATACATTATATGTACTTGTGAGTGTACGTGCACGTCAGTCAAAAATTAACTCGGTATATAACAACCTGTTGAATTAAAAAAGGTAGAAGAACAAGCAGTGAAATTTTCTTCATTTATTTTTTTAAAGAAAAAATACAAAGAAAAATTATTTAGAATTATTGGAAAATTTGTTTATTTTTACTATGTAGGCAAATCTGAATTTTTTTTTTCTTTTTATATTTTCCTTTAGAAGTGTTGAAACATCATTAATTTTTCCTTTGAATATTTTTCATCTGGAATAGAATCTTCTATCTCCAATACCAATTCAAGTTTTGGTACAGAACACAGTTAGAATAACTGAATATACAGTAGCAGAAATTTATCGATTTAGAAATTTTCGTTCTCAGGGGTTGAGAATAAGGGTTGAGAATTAGGAATGGGAATAAAAAACCGTACCTATGTGTTTATTGAAAATGTAAATATTTATGTTAAAAATTATTTTCAATTCCTTAGAAAAAAATTGTTGAAGAAAATAATATTAATGAAAGGTTTATTTTTCTAATTTATTTTTGAATCAAAGCATTTTCTTTTTTTTTTTGCCCATGCCGATAGAATGAGCAGAATTTTAAAAAAGATATTAAAGTATTTAAGTATAGTTTTTTAATTATAATTTTGCCTCGTAAAAGTTCAGGGGTTTGATTAAAAAAAATTTAATTGGCAATGCTATTAAATTTTCCGCGGAATGATGGGCAAATAATCAGATTATTAATTGATAATATTTAGGTTTCAATAATGCAAAAGAATAATTATTGATATTTGATTTTAATTATGTCTCCGTTCAAATCATATTATGGTATACAATTATTTTAACTCGTTAAAATTTCATTGAAAATTTTGTAGCGTGTGCGGTATTCGCTTAAATACAGCGAAATATTTAATTTTTTGTGTAATCTTTTAATTTTGTTAATATGTCTGAAAGCCTATATTCATAGACTTTTCTAATTAGTGTAGAATGAATTTAGTAATTTTAGTGATGACTTTTTTTTATTCAAATTTAATAGATAGCAATTACATTTGGGAATGAATGCATGTCCATCTTAGCGAAAAAAAGATTTCAATTACAATCCTGGATGCTTTCTTTTGTATTGGTAATGTATTTTAATTAACTTGACCAGAATGATTTAAAAAAAATAAAACTGATTGCGTGTACAATGCAATTTTGCAATCAATGAAGGTCAGCAATTATTTACAATATAGTTAAGAGTTTCAAAGGAATGTAAAATGTCTTTGTTTGTTGAGAATTGTAGACTTATAATTGCTAAAAAAGAGTGGATTTATATATACAACAATTTTTCTATTTGTTGAAAAATAATGTTAGTTGGTGAAAACCATTCTTTTGCTATAAAAATTCTATGTTATTTTGTATTGCCTGCTTTATCTTTTCCACGTTTCTATTTCACAGAAAAAAAAAACTTAAAAACAATTCCATTGTAATTTATTGTGGGTCTATAATCAGTTTATAAAATAATCGGCCAAGTTTAAATGAAGAAATATTATAGCAAAAAAGAGGAAGAACAAAAAATACTGTTGATGTACTCAGATGAGCTCTAAATCTATACATTCATAGTAAAAAATTCCTTTGAAACCAAAAAAAAAAAAAAATATTCAAATTAAATGGTAATTTTTGTTCTAATATTTTACAATGTATTGGGAGTAAATCGATTTCTTTATGTTGTTCCATTGACTGCTATGCTGATATAAAAATTAATGGGTTTTTTTCGGTTATATTAAAACAATGCGATGATTTAAAAAAAAATAAATATAGGAATGGAATTCCCATTGTCTATACCCAAAATTAATTTTAATCTTAATATATCAGAGTCAGGATGTTCATTAAATAAATTTTATGGGGATCTCATTTTTATTATGTAAAAAAAAATCTTTTTTGGAGAAAAGAAATTATAAGACTTTATTTGCTAAATAAATTTAATTTTTTCCCTACAATATATTGGGGAAAGGGAGTGTATATAAATCCTGCTAAAAATTTTATTTTAAGTCGATTTCGCTATATTCATCAATAGAAAGAGTTATAAAGACTTGAAACTTGATATTACTATTTCACGTATGCCCGCATTACAAATGCGTAAGTGAGGAAACGAGCAAATTCGATTTACTCGAACGAGTCATTGAATTTTTAACAAATAGGTAATTTTCGAGAAATGTTAAAACTTTTATTCTTTGATATGCTTAGACATCGGGCAAATGATACCTAGGCTTCCGAATAATTTTTTATATTTTATGTGTTTTAAGGGAGTTTTCTTTGAAAAAATTTATTTGAAAATGATGCAAAATAATTTTACTTAAATTGAGAAAAATTCACGTATAAATTATATTAAAAATCTTGTATTCAAATTTAAGAGACGCAATAATCTTAGTGCTCTCACTCTTACTAAACTCTCGCAGTAATAGGTTGAATTAGTTGTAGAGAAGCTTCTCATATGAAAATGAGAAAAATTGAATGATAATCTAGTACTAAATTTTTAAAGCACAGGAGAGATAATAGAAATTTTTAAGAAAAGATTTAATCTTATAAGATTTGAGTAACGAATCTCTGAAATTCTGAATAATTTGTCTGTCCTCCTTTTGAAAGAAAGTTGAGAGAATGATATTATATAATTTTTGATGTAAATCGAAAAATAAAAAAATTTTCTCAAATTTTGTGTACAAAAATCAAACTTTTTTTTTTATTTGTAAATAATTATAATTGTATATATAGATTTTATATATGTTTTATTATTTTTAATTTATTTAATATAATTTATAAAACTTTTTTTTAATAAAATTAATTTAATAAAATTTTATTTTTCTCTTTTTTTTCTTTGTTTTTTTTTAATGCATATGAAAATATTTTTACATTGCATGTTATGCTTAATATATACATGTACATACAAACATACATCTTGCTATAAATATATACAAAATTTACTACATATATCTATCAAAAAAATTCCTTCCTGTGAATGAATGCTCAAACACAATTCAATGATGTAAAAAAAATAACAAAAAAAAAAAATAAAAACTTTGCACCTATTCAATCCTGTGAATATTTGATGGCCGCTATAAAAAAACACAAAAAAATAAAATTAATAATTTTTTACTTGATAAGTTGGCAACAATCATAATCATATCGAGCACAATGACAGTCCACTAAAAATTAAAGGTAAGCATGTTTAAAGCATGAATGAAAAAAAAAAATAATAACAAAGCATTTTGTTTTTTTTTAATTTTAATTTTAGTTTTGTATTATAGAAAAAAATTTATATATGTATATATACATATATATATATATATACTCGTATTATCTAATATCAAGTAAATAATTTATAATAACTAAATACTTAATTGATAATTAAATAGTGTTACCATGTATATATGTACAAAGATATGAAGTTGATGAATTTTTCAGTTGTTCTTCTGTGTTGTAAAGATTTCGTTCGTTGTAGTTTAAATTCAAACCAAAGGAGGCGATTAATTGGCTCCGTTATCTAAATTGCTATATGACTTTTATTGGCAATCACACCATAACCTGCATAACAGTGTATTTCAGTTCAATAATTTAAGTAAAAACTGACACTGGTAAAGCTGTAGCGTTGAAAAATGAATAGTTCAATTATAATATTATTTTTTGTAACCGAATTTTATTGCATACATTTAGGGGAATTGCTAGAAAAATTAAAATAATCTTAAAAAATCTTGAAATAGGGTAACAGTTGAATTGGAAAGATGGTCAAAAATAGTCAATATTTTCTGTTGACTTTCTATTTCATTAAAAATTAAATAAAATTAAATTTTTTAGAAATTTTTGTGCTGATAATTCAGAAGTTAGGGAGTAGGAAAAACCATTAATTTTAAGAAAATTTTAAGTATTCCTTGATGTGTTCAACTCATAACAAATTTTATTTAACTGATTCGAAATGCAGGAATGAAAAATTTTAATATAGGAAAAAGAAAATTTTTTAAAAGTTTTCCTTTACGAATTTATATAAACAAATTAAGAGACAGACGGCCGGACTGTAAGTACTCAGTGAATAATATTTGAATATATTTTTTAAAATCCTTTGGAAATTGTGTTAAAAATGGCATAATTATGGCATGAATAATCCGTTTTATATACGTTTAGAAATAACGAATAAATTATCATGCAAGAGAAGGTAATTATCACATACACTAAAAGTTTTTGTGTTTGTTTTATACCACAGTCAGCCATTTTGAAAAGTTTTTCACTTTCCCACTTCAACTTATTATGATTTTATTACCTATTAAAAAAAAACTTTAAACTACTTCAAAAGTTTCCTAAATATCGTTAAGTCCCAGTTAATCATTATAGCTATAAAAAAATTTATTAAGAGTAATAAAATTTTTATTTTTTGTTTTTGGGTAAATCTGACTGTGGGTAGTCTTTTATCAAGAAGTTAAGCAAAAAAAAATTAATTTTGACTAAATATAAAATTATCCTTATTTCGAGATTTATTTGAAATCAAAATGAACACGCACAAATATCGTATATCCAGATAAAAGAATTTCTTTGACATTGAAAAATGTCTCACAAAGATGAAAAACAATAGTTTGAAAGGACTGAAATGGGGAAACAATACTGCAATGAATGGGAGAACAGGGAGAATTTAAATTTAAAAAACTTTTTATCAAACTTACAAAACTAATTTTTCCTTCTGATTACGTCATCATGAAAATAACCTTGAATTCTATAATAAAGGAAATGTTCAAAGAAAAAAAAGAATTAAGAAATTAAGTAATTTTAGGAAGAGGGTGGAGGAGAATTTTAATATGAAATTTTTAATTAGTTTTGTTCTTTTGAAATAAATAGGATTATTTTTATAATTTGACATTGAAAATAATTTACTTTAATACTTTTTGATAATATTAGAAGTATATATGACGTCGCGTATATGCAATGTCGCGTAGACGTACACATAAAGTATTCTGTAATATTGGAATTGATGCTTTGGTATTAAAGTCTCTGAACAATGTCAAAAAAATTATTTAACAGCGAAGTAGTTAAATAGTTATTTTGTAGCTTACTCGTATGTCAAAATTGAATGTTCGAGTTAAGTCGCAAATTAATGCAATTAGTGGTTACCTTCTTATTAAAAATGCGCGAAAGAATCGTCGTTCTTAAAATGCCAAAACTCTATAAGCGATTATTAATTTCTGAACGGAGCAGCTGCCACACCTTCGTAATAATGAGGTCCTGATTCGTATTTTCACGTATATCACTAAAAATTAAATAAAATGTCTTACTTTAAAAATATTTTTAGGAATTCTAAAAATATTAAGTAATATGCACTGTTTACACTTGAAATTTTGTTGAAATTTGCCATATTCCTACTCTAAGAACAAAATTATTAAGTTAATAAAAAAAATTTGTTTTTATCAAATCATAAAATTTTTCTCAATCATATATCTGAACTTGACATTGAAAATTATATTTAAAAAATAAATTATCTATTTATGAGTGTATGCGTGCTACTGTCATTGAGAAATCTAAAAAATTATTGAATTTTTCGATAACACATAAAAGAGAAATAATTTTTAACTCAAAGCAGTAAAAAAATTGGTATTATGAATTTTTCATACTATGAAATGAGTGAGTATTAAAAAATGGGTTACAAAAATAAGGATTATGTGAAATTCTATTTCGCTGCACACCCTTCTATTTTGCATGCCAATAATAAATGAGAAGTCAAGATAAAATTGCCTGATCTCAGCATCCCTTCCTTCTACCAAATGAATTTTATGCAGATATGCTCTTAATAGCTGATTAAATATCCGATGACATAAAGTTGGTCTTTAATTATAAAAACAAAACCAAAAAGCGGTGAACGGTAACGGCTGACGATTTTCGTTATGGCAATAAATTAACGGTGGTAATTTTGCTTCATTCTGGGTTAGGCCCATTTATATTATGTGCCTTCCATATAAATTTTGACATTTCGCCGTAGAAAACTACTCTTGTTCTATTTTCAACGTAAAATGTGTTTGCTGTGCAAATCAGACAGATTGCAAAAATACATTTTGAATATCCATATGGGGAGATGAAAATAAAACAATTTTTTGAACAATATTAGTAAAAATAGCATATTTTTCGGGTTAAAATTCTGAAATTACGCAATATATTTTACTTTGTTTAAGTTATGGAAGTTGTATGACCTAACTATGAAGGTTTTGCAATGATTTTTTTTTTCGAAATTCCAGAACTTCGAAAGTGTGTGCAAGTTTATAAGTTTTTTACACATTTTTCAATTATATTGCAATAAAATTGAAAATTATTTGACTTTGAACAACTTTAAAATTTATTAAATTTATGGGTGTAAAAAAAAAAGCTAAAAATTTTTCGGCAACTATTTTTGTATTGCAAATAAAAGTTCAATTTCCATAAAATTTGTATCCTTTTTTGATCCGAAAGTTTGTGTGGAAAAGTTTATCTTTTTCAAAAATGCTTCCAAAATATTCACAAATACGGGTACGTTATTGTAACCTTTAATTTTGGTTTGAATTTTAGTTTTCCATAGTTGAAATTTCTCTTAGATTTTATTTTTTTTTCTCTATTCAGTTTTCAGATACTTTTTGTTTTAAGTTAGGAAAGAATAATTTTTTGTTGTTATACGAAAAACTTTGCCCTTTTTTACCATATCCCAACTATATACGAGCAGATAAAGTTTAGAAAGCATGCCATTTTTTCTGTTACAGAAATTCTATAAATTTTTGCAATCACTTCAATATTTTATGGGACAATTTTTTTTTTGTGTAAAAAATTTTTTATTACAGTAATTTTATTTCATATTTGTAATTTACAGAATTATTTTTCATTAGTCTACCACTCGTAATATAACAATTTTTTTAACAATTTAGTTACTATTTTTAACTAAGACAGCAGACATGTGCATCGAGTTCAAAAACAAAAAAAAAAGGATTAATGGGATGAACTTTATAATAGTCTGTTCGTAATGACCTATGTCGCATATAACATTTGATAAATTTGCACGAAGGAATAATTGAATATTTTTACACACATATTCAATATGCCTCTGTAGAAAGTTTTTGTATGAAAATAAGATATTGAACTGGATTTTTGTTTTAGTTGAGTAGTTATTTAAAGAGGTAAGATGCCACTCTTAACCATGCCACCCAGCATTAAGCCAATGGAATAAACACACTTTCATACCTCCATAATACACCTCTCACCGCTAAATCCATTGACAATTCTCTTCTGAACTTTATCCCCTTGATAAAGCTCAGAAGTGTACCCGTAGGCGCCCCTGAGAGCTTCTCCAATCCGATATTATTCCAACCGAAATTTCTCAAAAAAAAAAAATATTTCATTTCCTTTGAATATTTTTAAATTTTGTGCGATTACATATGAACTTTTACGTTAGTTTCTACGCATTATCTATATATTCTGCTAAAATTTAATTGTATTACAAATATAAAGCCATTTCAAATTAATTTATTGTAATTATAAGACTAAAATACAACTGACAAGAATAACATTCTCTTAAAATATCTCTAATGAACATAAAATATAAATGGCACGTTTCTCACATTAGACATAAAAATCTTATAAAATCATTGTAATGTAAATAAGAATGTTGTAGATTTTTTAACAGCTTGTTTTTATTAAAAAAAAAAATAGAAGAAATATTCTTCCTCCAAAGAAATTTAAATTTCTTCTGTATTATAAAAATGAGAATTTAAAAAAAAAAAAGAAACACACGAGTACCAATAATATTGAAAAATTGAAAAGGAAATTTTTTAAATTAATATCCTTAAAAACGCCTTAAAAATACCACAATATTCTATTTCACTTCCACGTTATTACATATGCCTTCTCCTTCTACTTCACCTATGCCTCTGTCTCTCTCTCTCTCCATCTATTTCTCTGTGTCATATTTGTCTTCAAAATTGTCATTGATCTTCTATTATTAAAAAACAAAAATATAAGGAAGATGAAGAAGCGAAAACAAAAAAACACAATTATTTTCGACTTTGATAGCAATTTACGTTTTCAATTGGCATTTTATAGGCGACTGACTTTTGGTTATTGGGTCATAAAAATTTTTTATAATATAAAAATAGAAAAAATATTGTATAAAATTGAATAAACAAAAGAATATAAAATGTGTTGTAGAAGAAATTAAAGGCAGCACAATATTAAAGCCAATATATAAGAATATGGAAACTCAAGTGTGAAGCATTTAAATGGCCAAAGGGAAATCAAAATCATATTTTACCACAGAAATGTTATAAAATCAAGGCCTAAATAAACGTAGATAATATTGATATATAAAGAAAATTTATTTGTTCCACATAAAAAAAAGAAAAATAATGTTTACATTACAAACTCATTTCCATATCTGGGTAGGATACAAGAAAGAATGTAACAGAGTATAGATTTGTAAATATATATGTATATGTGATAATGTTAAATGAATGTTAACAAGGATTTGAGAATATTTGATTCATGTAATTCTATAGTATCCTTAAATAAGCTTTTCTGATGATACGGAATAAAAATGAATCGTCTTTAATTCTCAGTGGACTTTGTTTTCGGTGTCTTCATTAAATTTCTAATATACGTTTAAAATTTCCTTTAATAGATTTTTTTCTTTTAAAATAAAATTTAAAATTTTATTCATATGATAATAAATTTGGTGTAATGATTCAATTAATTGTTATTAAGAAAAAAATTCTCAATTATCTGTTGAGGGAATCCAACACCACCGCAGTGAGCGCTTAATCCCCAAGGATTTCCCTTTGTTTTAAATCAATGCTCCATACGCTTCCAGGTGTGTACTGAGGTCCCGCTTTCCTTCATGAATAACTTGTAACTATCACTCCTTTCAGACCAAATTTCTTGAGGCGCTCTCTGGTGCTACAATAGTTCAATACTCTGGTTTCTACATATTTTCATTATTATTTTACAGTGTTGTATGTCATATTACGAAACTACCTTCCCCGGTGTCACGTAAGACTCTTTAAGCGCATAAAAATTATTCTTATCTGACACATTAATTATATTTTATTGTATTATAGTAGCTCAAATAATCAATAACAGCTCATGCTGGTGCAACTATTGTAAATACTTCAGGTTTTCTTGCAATTTTGAACGATGTTTTTTTGTGTAATTTTAAAAAGCAATACGCAAAATTAAAAAATTCAATTATGTAGAAATTTGTAAGAATAATTGCATATTTTTGGGCTGCATATTATTTTGTGTCGAATTACACGTACGTCGGCTTATTATAGTATTAGATTTTCTATGAAATTCTGTTTTCAAGGCAATTAAGATTGAAAATCAAATTTTTTTAAATTAAAATTATTTAGGATAATCGCAGTAGATTACATAAATCAGTAATGAAGAAAATAATCGTATAAAAACATAAATATCTTCCCACACTCTTTAGAAAAAATAGGGTAAATAAAAAATAAATTAGGATAGAGATAAAAAATTTTTGATGTTAGAATCATAGAAAATTTTAAATTTTAATCTTCCCGTACAATTTTTATTTATTTCGTAATTTTTTTTTTCATTTTCTTTGGAAATTTTCAACAAAAAAAGGTTTAAATTTTTCAATGATAATGTCATACACACACACAACACGTGTGTAACTTCATTGTTTTCGGAAATTTTCTTTTAATACGTGCACATATATCAGATCAAAGAGGGAACGTATATAGGAAACCTATTCTAAATCAATTTTCCTTGTCTAATTTTATTATGGTGAAGGAAACAAAATTGAAAATTTTTTTATAGATTTATGTAGCAATAAAAAGAAAACACAAGAAATTATTTTTTGATAACGATACAAAAAGAGGAAGAAAAAAGAAAATAAATATTAGGTTTTCCAAGAAGAGTTTTTAGGCTTGAATGAGCTTAAAAATTTTTGTGCTTCTTCTGTAAATATTGACAACGATTTGGCTATGCTTGAAATGTTTGGCTCTTCCTAGAGGTGGGCTTTCGCAGATATAGTAAAAACAGTTCACTATCTACAACCTAACACATGCTGCTTGGGGAATTCCAATAGTCCAAAGCCACTTTGGCTGTTTTCATGAGAGCGACCTAAGAACATTACTATATATGGTTGTCGCGTTTCAACACCCACTTTCCCTGAGTCGTTGCGGACTGTTTAGATTAGTAACATGAATTCTACAAAAGCAAATCAAGAAGCGTATTGTAAGGTATCAGTGAGAGTCGAATTTAACGCTCAGTCGAAATATCAATACATACAGGCTTTTAAATTCTACTAACCTTGGTGAAAACTTCTTTGTCTTAAAATACCCGCATATGTAGCTGCATTAATCCGTTTTAGGCTCTCGTTCAAGACAAACATCCACAGCCAGGAGCGAACCTTTACGTTGGGTGTCTATCTATTGAAGTGAAAAAAAAGAACTGCAGAATCGATAGTATCCAGTGAGCTGCCGGTATCTTGACACTAACACCAAACTCGAACAGAGATTCCGGAATAACCCGCGCGTTAACATTGTTGAAGGTTCGGTACGCATCTAGGTAGGCGGCCGGGTTATCGTTATAATAAACCCATGTATAAATATGATCGACATGAGTGACATCGTAGGAGGGTAGGAAATTTAACAAGTGAAATTTGGTATGATCGCGATACCTTTTCTGTTGTAAGCAAGTTGAACCAAACAGAATGAAGCAGCTGAACTATAGGCGATAATATGATGTAATATTTCATTGCTTGCCACTAATTGTGGTGAGATAAGGTCAGTTAAATAATGATTGCGTTGCGTTACCTTTTTGTAACTTTTAAATAGTAGACACAATTTTGTATATTTTTTAAGTCAAAAGTTCATTTAGTAGTTCATTTAGTATTTAGATAGTATTTAACGTAGATGAATGTGAGACTTCATTTTTAATTTTGATTTACATTACAAATTCATATCATAACTCTATCGAGGTTAATAACGCATAATATAATTTTTGTAAGAAGTAAAAACTGATTAAATAACTAACACAATTTTATCTTTATGCTGTTTTTCTTTCCATTTTTCGTTTTGATTCCGAATGTGAAGGAAAGGATTTAAATATAACCTTGATCCTTATTTTTATTCCATACATACGTTATATGTATGTGTATGTTGTGTAATAAATTTACTCTATATTGTTACAAAATAAAACGTGAAATGAAAAAATAGGATAAAATTAAGGAAAATTAAGAAATCTAGAAATGATTTTATTTTGGAACATATAAAGGAACGGTTCATGCTGAAGTTGAATAAAAATTGATCACAATACAGGACATTGTAACTATTGAGCAACCGCCAGTACAAAAATTGTTTTAATCGTAAAGATTTTTCAAATTTTAAATGGTATATTGCCTTTACGGTAAATTGCGCACCGCAAACGAAGCCTCTTGGCATAAAATTTGTTAATTTGAGTTTGCAGCTAATAGCAAGTGTGGCTCATTAAAGGAATGCTCATTTTATCAATGAGCGACTTTGGCTCATAAAAGGTTTTTTCTTCATTCACCGAACTCAATTTCATTCTTAGATTGAATTCTTACGATTGTAAGCATGTTTGATTATTTTAATTTGAACGGTTTTTCCGATAGCACCATGGAATTCAGAATTTAAAATTTTGTTTTCAATAGATTAACCAACTATAGTTTCTTCTCTATTTTGGAAAAAAATAAAAATATTATAATAAATTTTATTTGAATAAAATTTTTTCCCTTTTATTGCTATATAAAAATATTTTTTAAAATATCTGAAGGATATAGAAAAACTCACAATGTAGAAATTATTCAAAATTACAACATAAAAAATTGGAAAATATTAAATTATTTATTTGAATCCTTTGTATCGATCCTTAATATCTGATTAGCATTGAGTTTTTTCAGAAGTTTTTTTAGAAGTTGTGAGGAAATTTCTTTTGTTTTCAATTAAAATGAAAAAAAATTAAGTTTTTTTCCTAATGAATTACAATTTTTATTAAGAAGATCTACCAGAAATCATGAATAATTCACCGAATTCCAAACTGTAAGGTTTTTTTTATATCAAGGTTAATGTTGTAGAAAAAGAAAACAAAAGAAGTTCTCAAGAATAACTTTTTGGTTTCTGAATAAAATTTTTTTTTTTATTTTCAAAATGGTAGTTATGGAGATTGATTTGGTTTTTGTTTGTAGAGGAAGGCCAAATATTATTTAATAATAGGCTTTTCTTGAATTTGGAATTTTTATTGCAGTTACAGGTAACAAATATTTTTCATATTTGCCGACCGAATCGCGTTTAATAATGAGGTCATCGTATTTTAAACCAAAAATTCAAAGGCTGATTGATTAGTCAAAGTAAGTGACCGAAAGTTTTGAGATTTTGTATATTTAGACAATTGAGTACATTGAGAATAGAATTTGTGTCTCAATTTTAAATTTGAGCCTATTTTACATTTGTATGAAATTTCTTACGTCAACTCGGAACACCAAGAAAAGCTCTGCAAAGGTCTGGTGTTGTATTTTCAAAATTATAATCTTGTCCATCTGAGTTGTTAGTCGTTATTTAGGTGAGAAATACAATCAGAGCATTCCCAAAATATTAAAGGCTTAAATGGCCATAGTCCCTTTGATCTTCCTTCCTTTCAGAATATTTAATTGAAACTAAACAAATGGTTCAAATACAGCTAAGTTTTACTGTGCAAACAGTAACCCCTTTAAATAAAATTGAATTAAATTTAAGTAATTTAAGCATTTTTATAAAATTTTCAAAGTAATTGATTAAGTTTACTGGTATTAAATTTAAATTCTATAGATTATGATTTGGATAGTTAAAGGTTTTTAATATTTAAAGCTGTTTTTTGTTGTTTTATTTATAAAAACAAAAAATGCTGTTGTTTTCTCAATTTCAGTAAGGTTTCGTATTAAAATTTTCATAATAATTAAAATTAAATTTTAATTACCTTTTTAATTTTCATTTTAATTCAATAGCAAGCAGTACAAGTGATTTATCATTTACATCAAGTTCACAATTAAAATCAAATGAAGTATCTGGTTTACCCGATCCACTAGATCCAAAATCTAATCAATTTTCGGTAAGTTTTAAAATAATTTTAATAATTTATATTGAACTGCTTCTACCTTAGCCTCCGTTTATTGTAAAAGTATGAAATTTTTAATGAAGTTCATAAGCGTTAACTAGCTTTCAGTTTGATTTTCCGATCATGATGTCATACGTTCAATATATTTAAATTGTGTTTATAATTTTTTTTTTTGTATATTTAGGCGAATGCAATTAGAAAAGGTAAAAAAAATCGTGATGATGCTTCAAAACTTTATAAAGGACCTGGAGGCTCTGAACTTCCAAAAGAAATTTTAAATGAATTGATAATTTTCACAAGAAAACGTACAAATGCTGTTATTGATGTCTGGTGGTTATATGATGACGGTGGTTTAACACTTTTATTACCACACATTATAAATACGAGAAAAACATGGTCATCATGTAAATTAAGGTATGTATGGTTTTTTTAATTTATATGTGTGTATTGTTTATGAATTGTATTCCAAGCAATAATTAAATGTTCGTCCTACATATGTAGATGACTAGTTTGAATTATGACCACTATTTTTGCATATTTCTTGCTGGATAGTGTAGAAATAAGAGAATTCAGTTTATATGGAATTAGTGACTCAAATCACTATTGTCGAATTCCACCATAAACACAGTGGTGATACCTATGAATTTTGTACGAAGAAACAAACACAATACTGCTTTTGGACTCTTATTATAAATAGATATTTATTTAGAAGTAGCACTCCTATTTACAGCAGGCAGTACAAGAGAATAGTTGAGAAAAGTAATGGCGAACAGTTATTCCGATACACGGCTTCATATTTTTAAAATAACGTAAAACGAAATTGGTTTTTTTAGTTGTTTCGTTGCAAGTCATATTTCATGTATTGAATTTTATCAAGTTCTACAGTCACCATTCAATATTTATACTGTCAATATCAATTTATCATCTTGAAATGTCTAACACACATGATTTACGATATCAAAGTTATGAGTTTGTAGCTTATAAGAGAGAAACATCAAATATGAGATTAAATAAAGATAGCATCATTCTAAATATATTATGACCTACTTACTCATATGAATCGTCTGAGCTCTACAAATATATCGAAAATATTATTCTTACAATATTTCTTAAATTTCAGTATATAAGATTTTAAGGATGTTCTGAAGGGATTTTTATTAACCTAAAATCATTTCCGGTTAATAAATTTTTAGTTGTTTGGTTTTGTTTTGTTTTATTTTTTTTTAACACCAAGCTGTACGTAAAACTACATAAATCAATATTATTACGAAATTTAAAACTTTCTTCCTTAGTATTATAACTGTACATACGTTGTTTTTAACATTTTCTAAGAAAATTTATGATTCTTTGAACTTTTCTAAAAGTTATAGTAAACTACCTACTTCTTTTTTTATTATTATAAAACTTCCGGTCTCTAATAAAATTTGCGATTATTTAATAATACAAGTTGTATAATAAAAACTTTTTAAATTTAATTCAAAAAATTTTCAAACTTAAACAAAAAGAAAAGTTATTTACAATTTATTTTTCGTATACAATAATAAAATATGAGAATATTGAATAATTAAAATATGAATGATCTTATACAATGAGGTATATGAATATAGAATTAACTTAAATATTATACAATTAAAATTAGAAAAGTTATCAAATTAAAAGGAAAAATACGAAATGATTATTTTAATTAAATTTCATATTTTAAGGCTTAAATTAAACAAAAGAATCTACTAAACTTTTTTATTATGTTTACTCCAAATAACGGATATTTGTTATGTTTGATTGACTGGCAGTTGACCCTGAAGATGTCTCAAGTTGGAAAGCGTATAGACCGCATTCGTGCAAAGTGAAAAGTCTTTTTGCCGAAGAAAGATAAAAGAAGCAAAACAGGCCACCTAGGCACTTATTTTTTGCAGGGTAAAATCGGACGGGACTTGGAGCTTCTCCCCGTCCATCATGGGGTGGATATATACCATGGTAGTGATGCCGCTCCTCAAATATGGAGTGGTGGCATGGGCGAGAGGAATGGCTCTTGGAGTGATTAGAAAGAACCTCGAATAATTGCAGAGCTCTAAAAACGTATTCAACCGTGGCAATGGAGGTGATTTTGGGACTAACCCCTTTCTACTTCCCAACCTCTGCGAAGGTTGCCATTCTGAGGTAGGGAAGTAATTGAGTTGGATTCGGACAATGAGGTAAAGGGATCAGAATCGGGATCGCCTTCTCGGGGAAATTTCGCTCCTTGGTAATAGAAGCAGTTGGGAGCGAGAATTTTCGAGTTAATAAAAAGGATCTCACGCCATCAGGTGGTATACTTTTTGACTAAAGGCCTGCATGGGACTTGGGCGTGAGTATTTGGGCCAAGAACCAATTTCTTCGAATCAATGGGAATATTTTCGAGAGCGTTTCAAAACGAAATGCATTATATAGAATATTTTGGAAGGAATAGTAAATTAATTTCTTATGGTGATAATTGAGTCGAACTATTTGTCTAAGGAATCTCAATGAAGCCTTCACTATTACGAGAATATTATATACAAGTGTGATATGAGGGCTCTAAATTCTACCTATAGAAGACAAAAAGTAAATTGTTTAGTAATGGTTTCAATATATTTGGAAAGGTTGGCCGTTACGAATATTTATTGCATCGGCGCTGCATTGTAACGTAAGCTTCTCTGAAATCGATGAAGAATTTGTATGGTGGCTTTCTGTACTCTATTAATTGTTCGGCTATGGTTCGAAATATAATTTGCCTGACCAAAGAAAGACTCTTCTTCACGAATTGTGTCTTGTATTTTTTACTTTGTTTTTTATAATTGTTGCCAATATTTCTAAGAAATGTTTACCAGTGCGATGACTCTTCAGTTAAAATAGTAGGACTTTCTTGAATAGTTTGATAATTGAACCTTTTCAATAAATTTAAAAATCAATAAATTTAAACTTTTAACTTATTTGTAAAACCACAATACTAAATTTTGAAGAATATTATACAAGGCATTGAACCGTACAATCTATTGAGTGGGCAGCTAAATAAATATCAACATGTTTAATCAATGATAATAAATTGGTAAAATTTAATAAATCATTATGAAAAGCAACCAATTCAATAATTTGATTTGTATGCGTATTTTTTTATTCATCTAAAATGCATAAGACATTCACTTATCTCTAAATTATTAAATATAACATGTGTTCTCTATATAGAAAGTGATGACCCTCAGCTTTAAATTATTAATACATATATTATATTGAGAGTCATAATGATTTTTTGATGGATTTTGTATTCTCATTGCAAATACTCGATTTAATATATTCTGTCGATATTCTTCCTAAATGGGCTCTTTTATGTGTGAATTATTAACATTTTTGTATAATATACAATTTATGATCCTTATACATTTCTTGATTTTTGAATTGAATTGATGATAGTTCTAAAAACAATATCGAATGTAAATAAGAAAAATTTATGATATTAGCTGAGATTTGCCACTTAATAAAATTTTTTCTTTCTTGTTTTACTGAAACAAATATTCGGAAAATTGCTGCAATTTGATTGAAAAATTGAAAATTCATAAATTTTAACTATTTAGATCAAATAGAATGTTGACTGAAGTCTAGACTTAACAAAAAAGAAATGTAAATGTACACCTACATGTTACATAGAATTTTTATAAAATTTTATAGGTGCACACATACTAGGTAGGTACTTGTCTAGCATAGTTTTGAATTTCATTGAAAAATTTTTGGTTTGGATTAACAAAGTGAATCTGATAAAATGAAGCTATTAAATAGAAATATTAAGGTTTTCTGTGATTGTGTGATTAAATTATTTGAGAATTTTAATTTTTTAAAATAATTTTTGAACAGATTCGTGAAAATTTCACTTTGATTTGGAATAAAAGTTTGTATGAAGTCTTCTTTATGGTCTTTATACCCGTACGAACGTATGGATTAATTATGTATAAAATAGAATTAGAAATTTAAAAAGCAAGAGGTTGAATGAATCTGTATGTAAAATTATCTTCGGCATTTAAAGTCATTTATTCGTACGGGTATCATAGAGTTGACTAGGTGAACTATATTTTTTTTATCGTTTTCATTTATTTTTAATTTTAATTAATGGAATTTTTGTAATTTTAAATTGCAGCGATAATTAAAATCTTTTCGGAGGCTTGTAGATTGTAGATAGCAGAATTGGGTAATAATCCACCGCGACCCAAAAAGATCTATTGTGCACCCACTTCGAGTGCCCAGTGTTCTGCCTACAGCATCCCCTCCAGACTCACACTTCTGATGAATCCGAGCAGGTTTTCCGGAGGGATATCCCACAACGGCATGCCCACCAGCCAAGGTCCAAGGTGGCCCATCTCTTATGAACCAACGCCCCGCACTCACTGAGAAGGTGCACTGGAGTTTCCTCCCCTTCCTCACAGTATCTGCAAGACCCACCGATCTCTAGACCCAGCTTGCTTAGGTGTTTTCTAAGCCTGGAGTGTCTCGTCAGGAACCCCGATGTGACCCATGGTGTCACATGATTCAGAGTTATCCTTATGATTATCTTATAGCGTGTCACTAGTAATTTTCGAAAAGCCCCTTCGCTTATATATCACTGCTTTACCGTTTTTTAATAGTTGTAGCTTACGTCAACCATTTTCACAATGAATTATTTGTGTCGGTTATTAATTATTCATCGGCCATTTCTTACTTATTTTACTTAACAGAAACCAATTTTTTTTTTGTATTTATATTTACTATGTTATTTAAAATTAACTCTTATCAAAAAATTCCATTAAAACTTGAACATAAATAATCGTAATTCCCGCTATCGCAGAAAAAACTCTTACATTTAAGTTAAGGCATAATTATCAAAGGATAACAATATTACTGATGTTAACAAGAAAAACATAGAAATCACAGTACACCATATTGCATTGGGAATTAGACTCCAACTCCTACTAAAATTAGCTACTGAACTTCTTAACATTTAAAAATAATTAAGATTTAGAATTTTTAAGTAAAAGTGAAAAATTTTAAGAGCATCAGATCTAGTATCATTGAAAATTTAATAAAAAAGGCGGACCCATAAATAAATTTTTAAAATGATTTTATTTTTAGAATTGCTTCGTAGCATAAATAAAAAATTTGTTATTCTATTCCCAAGACAAAAAGGATTTAATTTACTTCTCAGTCTTCTCAAAAAGGAAATTTCTTTTGTATGTTCTACTGAAGAAAATAAAATTTAAAGTAACATTTTAAAAATAGATTTTTGTTAAAATTTATTTTGGATAGATAAAAGACATAAATTTAATTTGAGTGTTGAAGAGGTTATATCACTGTCTTAAGATTATATTCCTTCTTTCTAGGTATGAGATTGTTCTTTAAAATTTAAGGAAACTTTGAGGAATTCTGTCAAATAATATAAAGAGATAAAGGAAGCATTATTCAATTTTTAATGAAATTCTAGAAAATTTCTATTATTGTTAAGAAATCACAATTCTTAACTTGGGTTATCTTTTACAGAATGGGAATCAGCTCACATTATTGAATGTTTCATGTCTAAATACCTAATATCACGTTCCAGAATGTTTAGTACCTGCATTAAATTTTTCATGTTAAACAGAATCAAGTGGAATTTACAAAAAACTAAATGCTTTATTTTAAAATTAAAACAAAAAGTTGCTTAAGGTTTGAAAGATTTCTTGTTAATTCATTCAACAACGAAATTACCTTGCTGTAATTCCTTTAATAAAATTTAATTTATTTGAAAAATTGAAATTTTTTTGGTAAGGGGTCGATAATCCCATCGTTAATTCTATAATTCGGCCGGTAATCTCCGAACTTCTGTAATACAATAAGATTGTTTATTGGGTGTGTTGAGTGTCACAGTCTTGTTTTCTTGATTTCATCGTTTGTTGTTTCATAAGTAAATCACATTCAATTTGTGGATTTGAGTATACCATTGGTTCATTTACTGAGAATACAGATAGATTCCACAAAACCAAATCTAGGTACTAGATTTTGGTTTTGTGGAACAAGCTGAACTACAACGTGCAGATCACCGCTGGACCACACAAGAGAACACAATTTACACCTATAATAAGTTATTTAAGAAGGCCCAAAACTATTTAATAAAGCTACCGGCACCCAGGAATTTTTTAAACTGATATTAATTATATTCGTGAGCAGAGACCCCAATCTCATATTTCACATTCAAAAAAGAAACGACTGCAATGTTTTGAATTTCTTAAAAATTAATTTTATTCAAAGATGATAATAATATAATTACACACATACATATACATACACGAACTCACCGTCTTGAATTCAAATATCCTTCAAACAACTTTATAATAATTTGTCAAGGACTTTGGGATCATTTCACCAAAAAAAAAACCCAAATATTTTCCTTTTTTAACATTCAAATTATCAAAATTTTATTAAAAAATTTATCATATTAATTTTTTGTTATTTTATTTTTTTTTCTTTTTTTTTTTCATTTTATCTTTAAGGGTATATGCATTCGCTAATAAAAAATCTGAATTAGAATTTGAACAACGTTCAATGGCCAGTTTACTTTCTAAATTTCGTATCGATTATTCAGATTTAACTTTGTTACCGGATATTACAAAAAAACCACAAGAATCAACAACACAATTCTTTAATGAACTTATCAAGGATTTTATTGTTGCCGATGATAGTGCTCCTACATCAGAGGAAGGTGAATTAAGTAAGTATTTAATCGAAAAAATAAAAAGAGAATAACAATCTAATAACAATAAATAAAAAAGAAAAGAAAAAGGATGGATATACGATTATTGTAGAGTAAGGTATATTTCGGTTAGAAATAATAAATTTATTTTGGTTTTGAATTCGGTATAGGTAACTTGACATTAGGTTCTGTGACAATTCTTATCTGAAGAGAATTTTGAAGTTTACAATATTTTCAAATTAATTTATTACGATTTATTTTTCAAATATACTCTAGATGGCATTTAATTTTCATTCAACAATAACGCTGGAAAAATAAAATGAAGCACTACAGAATTTCCGAATAAGGCTAAATGAGATACCTCTGCTACATTTCTATAGCTTATCCTATTGTTAACAAATCAAACATTTGATTCAACTTTTTATTAGGATATTTTACTCGAAAATACTTTTATTCTTTATTATAAGGCTCTTTAAATCGAAATAAAAATATTTTTTTCCAATTTACGTTATTCAAAACTATAGAGAAAATTACGCTTGTGTGAATTTCTTTATTTGTATGACAAACGAAAAGCTATTAAATTTGAAATACAAATTGATAATGGGTGGGTGGAAATTGGTGGTAAAAGATAGATAGATAATGAGGAAACAATTCAATACAGAGAATAGAACACTTAAGAAACTATTAAAACTTTTTCAGATCTACTCTTCTTTAGAAATACAAAAGAATCAAGAAAAAAAATTCTTTTTAAAAATCTCTTCCTACATAAGTACTCGTGTACATCTCGATGTAGACTAATAAAAATTTTTTGCTTTCCAAGATAGTTTTTGCTCTTTTTTATAAATTCTTTTTATACACACATTTAATAGTTATTGTCAATAGTTTTGAGGAGAATAAAAAAATGTTGAAGAGTTTACCGCAAAAGATGATATTACGCACGCATCTCACACGTATTGTAAACAATTTCATTAATTCGTGTGTGAATCCTTTAGTCAAAAATTTTTTTAAGTTGTAATCGAGTCCGTGAACTAAAATCTAATTGTACTTAATTCATTTCCATTATTTTAATTCAAATGTTGAAATGGGTAAAAAAAAAATATGTAAATGCGTAATAAATTAGTTCTCAAAATTTAAATTTCTCGCTTCAATCACAATAGTCACATATCACAATTCACAATATGGTATCATTTATTTATAAACTGTAAATCGAAAATCTGTTTTTGTTAGAGAGCGTATGAGAATTACTAAGAGAGAATTGTAAGACATATTCTGCGTTGAATGTCATATAAATGAGATGGGATGTCTTAAATTATTTAATTTAATTTATTTAAAATTATTATTAAAAAAAATTAAATTTCTATTAAATTTATTTAATTTGTTTTTCATTTTGTATTTTTTTTTTAGCTGCAATTACCGATAGTGATTTGATTGCATTACAAGATAAAACAAACCGGTACTTACGTTTAAGAGAATATTTATTGGAGAATTCAACAAAATCTGATTTAGTCGTTATGACATTACCGATGCCACGTAAAAATATGGTAACAGCACCACTTTATATGGCATGGTTAGAAAGTTTAAGTCAAGGATTACCACCATTTCTATTTGTACGTGGTAATCAAACAAGTGTATTGACATTCTATTCATAAAAAGGACAAAAAAAAAAAAGAAAAAAGAAATCATTAAAGAAAATTTTTAGAAAACAAGGAGAAAAAACAAAATATATATATTTTAGAAAATTTTACAGACAACTCAGTTGTATTTTAATGATGACACTAAATTATAATTATAAAATGAAAAAGAATATATTATTTTTATTTTTCAAAATAATTAAAAATTAAAAACTAACATTGTAATTTTAAATATGTTAAAATTAAATTTCAAAATCAATTTTTTAAAAAGTTTTTTAAAAATTAATTTTATTTTAATATGAGCTCAAATTATACAAAAACAACTGTCATTCAGTTGTCATTTTCGAGTACAATCATGTTAAAATTTCAGTATTTTCATGGAAGTCTTCACAGATTTTGAAAAACTTTTAACTATAGAATTTAAGAATTCTTTGCTATTTTTTATTTTCTTTTAAATATTTTTATTTATTAAACAAAAAATATATTTTTACACAAGACAATCACTATTTTATTTTAAATTTAAATTATTTTTCTTTTTATTTTCTTAAAGACAAAAATAACAATTAAAATTTTTTTTAATTTAAATTGGTTTTTATTTTTTAAATTTATTTTAATAAAATTTTTTTCAATCTAAAAAACTTTATATTGATTAAAATTAATATTGTAACAACACACACAAAACATAATATGTAAAAGTTATTCAAACAAAACATTTACACTCTTGATTATTTTTAATTTTACTAATAATAAAAAAAAATTTTTTTTTTTTTTTAGTGTATTAAGATTAAATTCATAATTATAATTTTAACAAAATTTTTAAATATTATTTTACATACATATTTGTATTTGTAAAAGTGATTAAGTTTATTTTATGTATTACTTATGTTATTTAATTTGAAACAAACAACAATAAATAAAAAAAAGAACAGCAAACACAAATATTTTTATGTTACGTCAAAGCTTTTTATTAACAAAATTAAAATAAAAAATAAAAATGCAGCAACAAATTCACAATAAATTTCAATAAAGAATTTATAAAATTCATTTTTAAGATTAAACGAAAAATTGTACAAAAAAATAAAAATAATATTAAAAAAATTAAAACAAAATTTTAGCGTTTCAATGTAACCTTAATTTAAGATTTTAATAATTTTAATAATTTAATATAATATCGACATAATGTACGTACGTACATATATCAGACAGAATTATTTAGAATTTTACAGAAAATGAAGAAAACTTTGTAATACTTTTTGGAATTTTTGTATTTGTAAGCATTTTTGGCAGTTTTGCAGTATGTCAAATGTCCGTTCATTGGATTGATTTTGCAAATGACAATCATCTCCAATTTAGGAATTTTCACGATTGACATTTCAAAAATTAATTCAATAAACCGGAAAATATAAAACTTCAAAATTAAAATATTTTCTACGCCATTCATTTTGTCACTTGGCATATAAAAATCAATTATGCATTAGGCTTTAAGGAAATTCACAAAAAGCAACAAGAATAATACTAAGTTTATTTATGAATTCCAATTTATTACGTATAAATCATGTCGTATTGGAATTCATAACAAATGTCAGTTGTGTGCATTTGATATACCTGGAAACAGCCTTTGTTTTACTCTATGAAATTTTGTTGTACAATTCTGAAATTTTGAAAGACAGTCTTCCTTAATGATAACTTGATCAGCAGCGATCGATTATCCAGTAATTTTAAGACTAGTATAAGTGAAAATCGAATTTTTTGTTTTGGATAATCGTTAATGGGGTAGCTTCGTTTATAAATAAAAAATCAATGACTTTTCAAATGTTAGCGAAAAATTTAGTTAAAATTTCAAATGTTAGCGAAAAAATAGAATATAAAAATGCATTTTACCTAAATGATTTTACCTAAATGGATATTGATTTTTTATAATTGGTATATGAAAATGGTTAATTGCAATATTGAGATTAAAATTTTCATAAATATTTGCAGAGGAATTAGTAAAAAATTTTAGAAAAGAAAAAATTTACGGGATCAATTAAAATTATTCACAGACAAAAAATTGAACAAGCATTATTCACAATATTCATTTATTGAAAAAAATAAAATTGAAAATAAATTCGATAAGATGTCCTGCAAAATTATACAAGGGTATTATAAGAAATTATAATTAAAGCAAAAAAAATTAATTTTTGTTAACAAAATTTTATAAAAATCTCATTAAAATCTCTGTTCAGGTTTTTCAATAAAAATAAACAAGCATTCAATACACACACTAATTTAAAATCACTTCTTCCAGAATCACTTTTTTAAGAAGATTATTTTAGAATTACAAAACAAAAAAAACTTGAAATTGATTTTTCAATACAGTAGTTAATTCTTCTTTTGTCTGGCTTCTATGTATGAGCTCTCATCTTAAAACTTTGTTAAGCATACACGTGTACAATGTTTTTTTTTATTATTGTAAATCAATAGAATTTTCCAATGAAGAGAATTTTAAGGAGAATTTTTTTGTAATTTTTGTATTTTTGTTTACAAATCTTATACACAAATTAAATAAGAAGAGAAAAATGGGTCAAGTGTTAAATTGAAATCGATGATGTTAAAGAGATTTTATTATGAGATGTGAGAGCACTTCAAAGTATTGAAGTTGTGGTCTTGTTTTTTTTTTTATAAAGGATAAGAAAGCTCTAGGTGTTCTTAAAGTAGTTTTAAAAAAAATATTGGTAATTGTTTCCTTTTTTTTTTAAAAAGAAAATAAAAGTATGTGAAGTTTCCAGAATTTTAGGTATTGTGACTTTGTAACTTTATATTGAATTTGCTTTTTATTTTATGCCGGAAGTGGAAAATTTAAGTTCGTATTTTTAGGAAATTTTATTTTTTTCTTTTATAAAAACTTGAGCCTATTTAAGCATTAATGTACTTTATAAAAAATTTTATTGTATACCAGTTATGGTATTGAAACCTTAATTGTAAAAAGTTTTAAATGATTTAGGTAGTAGGTATTATGTACACATTAATGATGTTTGTAAAATGGATGTGGTGCTTGTGATATGAGTGTGTACATGCATGTGCAAATTCAAAAAGAAGAACATTATATCTCAAGCTTGTGTTTTATTTGTAAACGTAAACCCTTTTATGATCGGTCAAGTGAACTAGAATTGATAAAAAATATTCCTGTTTTTTTTTTTTTGGTTTTTGAGAAATTATATTGGAAAGAGGGTGTCAAATGTTAAATTACGTTTGTAAGGCAATAGGAATTTAGAAATTCGTATATTATGATTTAGTTGAATTTTTCGGCAGTTCGAACTGATTTTAAGAAAATTAAATTTTTTATACTTAGTTTAACATTCTCGCCGCCTATATAAGTTTCCTTCTGTGTTCTTATCTTACTGGCCGTCCATCTTTCTCTTCATTTTATGCTGCTTATACTGAAAATAACGCAACTACCACAATACTGAAGATTATTTCTTTCGGTTTTTAATTCATTTTTATTGTAATATGTTGAATTGACTTTTGAAGCTCAAACAAAGAATTGTAATGGCAGCACGTTTTATAGTTTGCTGCAAAAAAACATTCCAATTTTGTTGGTAGAACAACAAAAGTCTTCTGTCAATCATATTTCACCAGCTCGGGAATTCATGCGAGTCACAAATTTTTCCAGTTTTCTTTATAACCACTTGTGTATATTTCTTTTTCACTTTTGTTCTCTGAAAACTTCATACCTTTCCTTGAGCTATATCCATTCCAAACTATCCATTTTTCGATTATCTTTTTCTTCCACCCGGCAAGCTACTCGTATATAAAACTTCTATATAAGTAGAATTGATGTCCAGGACTATTTTTATAATTTGCTACAATTAAATTCTAAAAATAAAATCTTTGTAATTTTAAGTACCTCACACTTTTCCAGACTTAAATTTCCGGGTTTGTTTTTCTTTTAGAAAATAAAAATTTTGAAAACATATTAAAGATGATGAATTGGAATACTTGTATGTTATCATCAGGAACAATATAAGTGTAAAATTAATGGTATGGTCATCCTTTTTAATTTTAATAATACATTTTATGGGCATGTATGTAAGTGTATAGCATTCTGATTCCTTTTAGAGCTTTATATTTATATTGTTATTTTTTAAAAATCCTCATTCCAACCATATTCCCGAGCTAAAAAAGATTTATTTTAACAACAAGTAAAAAAAAAAAAGTATTTGAATTAAATTTTAAATTGTTAAGAAGTTTATTACCTTCTATTATGAGAAGGAAAATCCTTATATTTTATGATCCTGTTAAAATTTTATTGTGCATTGTTATCTTGTTCCTTTTTCCTTGCTTTTCTTCTTCTTCTTCTTGAATTAAGCCTGGCATTTTAACGTGAAATTTTTTAATTTGAATTTTATTATTACTTTATATTATGAGTACGTGCATCCTTACATATCAAGATTATATGGGCACTTTTATATGCAATTCATATTTTTTTTTTGTCATGGAATGAGAACACTAATAAAATTTATTTTATATATTTTAATGACAGAACTCTTAAGTATCATTGAACTTAGGATTTTTGTTTTTGATTTTGATGCTATCAAAATGACATCTCAGATTTAAACTGTAAATACAAACACACATGTTTTTTATTACCTGATTTCTTGTATTATTTTGTAAACACAAAAAAAATATTTAAAAATTTTAACAATCTTTTCTTTTATTTCAACAACTTAAATGGAATTATTAAAATTTGTTGTTGCTTTTATTCTCAAATTTGTAAATTTTAACAGGATGATTCGTAAGAGAGAAAAATAATTTTAATTTGTTCAATTATTTTTTAGTGTACACAAAAAATATGAGAAATGAAATTTTATTGATGAGAGCAAAAAATATTTTACTGCAATTTCTTTAAACCTACACACAAATTTAAGATTTTTTTTTTTTTGTGAGTAGACAATAACAATGTCCTTTTCAAATTTTTATTTTTGCTTTTACTCACAGTTTAAGAGAAATTCAACTTTTGAAATAAATATAAGTCAATGACTTCTTTTTTTTTTAAATGAACCTGCAATTAAAAATATGAACTTTAATAATTTTTCATTGAAAATAATAAAAAAAACAATTCAATATGATTTTTTAGATTTTTTTCGAATTCTACGGATTTGCTGTCAAACGAAATTTTATATTTTATGTCAGTGGTGTATTTAAATAAATCAAATTGACGTTAGGTGTACATTTTGACCGTAATCAGGCATTCAGGCGATTAGATTAAATTTTAATTTCCCACGGTCAGTAGGTTTTATACTAAACAAATAAGCAACTTACATTACTGAAACACTTCATTACATTTTTCAGGACAAAAGTTTTTTTATTCTAAATCACGTCATCTCTTTTCTAGAGCATAAGTGTTTGCACATTGTTTCGATTGTGGACAACACAAATTTAGTACATAATGTTGTATTGCGATCGCATCAAATTTTAACTTTTAAGTTTTCAACGGAAATGGAATCCTCCATGTTAAAAAACGTCTATTCAACTATTTTACTAAAAAAATTCAACTATTTTTAAAGAGGTGTCAGTACTTCTATGTTTCTGTATACAATGTGTCCACCCGTCGCCCAGTATGTCTTAATATTTTAGTTTCAATTGAAAAGCTTAGTCATCG